CTATTTTAATTCTATTTTAGAGGAACTACCGTAGGATTTAACTCTGCAGGTGTAATCCAACTTACATCAATAGCTCCCTTTCTACAGAGGAAATCCTTCAAAATCATATGTCCGTTTTAAATGTTTTTATTATTCATATTCCAAACAATCAAAATGAATCTGAACTACCATACCTTTACTGGATTCCTAAACTTCATAAAAATTCTTACAAACATAGATATATAGCGGGTTCCAGCAAATGTTCTGCCAAGCCTCTTGTTTGCTCCTCACTGAAATACTAATACTAGTAGTATTGAAGGAGAAACCTCAGGAGTACTGTACAACAGTATATTCGAGAAGTGGTGTAAATCAGATGTGGATACTTAAAAATTCCAAGGAACTTTTAGAAAAATTGAAATCATAACATTTTATTAAAATCAATTACATCAAAACGTACGACTTTTCTACACTTTATGCAACCATTCCCCACGATAAAATGAAGTCCAGGCTTTTTGACATCATAGACAGCTGCTTTTTCAATAAAAATAGCATTTGTATATATACGCATCTTGTCATTGGTCATGTGCAAAAATATTTTGTTAAAAAGCATTCTGATTGTAAGCACAAGTACTCTGAAGTTGATATTAAAAAGATGCTAGAGTTTCTGATTGATAATATCGATGTAGTTTTTGGAGATCAGCTCTTTCAACAATTTGTAGGTATTCCCATGGGTACCAATTACGCGCATATATTAGCAGACCTATTTTGTATTCATATGAAGTAGAATTTATTCAAAAACATCTACATGAGAAGAAAACACTTGCTGTGGCCTTTCAACTCAACTCGTTATTTCGATATATCGACGACGTATTATCAATACACAATGGTTACTTCCATTCATATGTCGACTCGATATATCCCAGTGAGCTTGAAATAAAAGATACCACAGAGTCTGACACATCTGTTTCATATTTAGATATCTTGCTAGAAAAAGACGTTAATGGTAACCTAACAACAAAGCTTTATGATAACTGTGATGACTTCAACTTTTCTATCGTCAACTTTCCTTACTTACGTAGCAATATATCCTTATCGCCTGCATATGGGGTTTATATCTCTCAGATGATTTGATACGCAAGAGCATGCTCTACGTATGAACAATTTCTAAAACGAAACAAGCTACTGACAAACAAGTTAATGAAACAAGGATATCAACAGTCTCGTTTGATGTCATCATTTCACAAGTTTTATGATCGATACAATGTCCTTGTTAGCACATACAACCTATCATTGAGTCAAATGCTGACTGACGTTTTTTCATACTAATTGTTAGACCATTATTTATACACTGAACTGTCTAGGATATTTCCGTTTTTTTTTTTTTTTTTTTTTTTTTTTTTTTTTTTTTTTTTTTTTGGTTGTTGTTTTTTTTTTTATCATGACAAGGAGCACACGGCGAGTTTGACCGGTCAAAAGGGGATGCTCACTCCTCCATGGCACCTGATCCCACCTCTAAATTTTGAGGTCCGTGTTTGCTCTGCTCCAATTTTTTATCGTTTCATTGGACTTCGAATTCGAGATTGAATACTGTTCTTTATCTTCATATTTCATTCAAGCTCAAAAGTCCATTAAACAATACAAATGAGGACCAGAGCAAACACGGACCTCTAAAACATTAGAGGTGGGATCAGGTGCCATGGAGGAGTGAGCATCCCCTACCGACCTGTCACATCCGTCGTGTAATATAACAATAATAATCTTACAATAAGATCCATAATATCTGAAATTAAAAGTATTAAAAGTACATAAAGCAAATTCCTCTTACGACACTTACGACACTAGAGAAGTTTCTTTGTCTTGCAAAAAAGCAATTATTGTTCACAATCTGCGAAAAGTAAATCAGAGCAAAGATCATCTACTATATGGCATAAATAGTTTCCTTAGAAATAGTGAACTATATGATGCACTTATCTCTTCTAGCTATTTCAGCTTTGTCTTGTTTTCCAATTACTAAGTTTTTGTACATTAATTTCAAGTACCTAGTACTTAAAAAATAACAAATAGATGCCATTATGCTTGTTTGTTTTTAATATGTTTTCTATATCCCTCATATTTCAGAAATCGTAATTACGATGAAGACAGTATATGACTGATGCAGGATTAACATGAAAGCCACTGAAACATTTCATTACTGAGAAACAGATAAAGATTGTTGTCTATAGATAAATTACTGATTTATAGTAACATTTATACAAACAAAATTAACACTACATTTTTTTTAATGTATTAAAATTTTTAAACTTATCAGGGTTCGACCCTTTTTTTAGCTTGGTGGACCGCAGGTCCACTTGTCAAAAATTATTGGTAGACCTTCTCAAATTCTGGTGGTTCTTCATAAATGTTTGAATTAATGAATGAATTTATTACACAAGGCTTGAAACTAACTTATGTACACAGTCCAGTCAGACTAAGTCTTATAAAGTACAAGTTTAACCAGTCAACAGAAACAAATCACTTATATATAGTCAGGAGTTTTTCAGCAATATTGTTAAACATATTTTCAATATTTTAAAAAAGAACACAATATACATCTTCAAACAATTTGTTATTTTAATATCATTTATTTACAACGGTAAAAACCTGCATTTATTTCGTTTCCAACGGTGCATAAAATTTAAAATCCCAATAACTAAGCTATAAAATATAATCAAGTGAATTTTTCATTCATCTATGACTAAAACAATTTTTTACTACGATGCAAAACTGACAAAAGTATATGTATTTATTTATTTTTTTTTTTAAAATTATTATTTATTCAAATAAACTGCGATCATTTGATTCTTTAATGTGATTTAATGTATAGCAGAAAAAAAACCAGAAACTACAGATAACTTGTTCACAAAATATTAATCATTCCTGATTGAAGATCTAAAAAATAAACAATGTATAAATGCAGCTGTCAATCAATTCTAATTATCTCCAAACCTGGCCATCAGTATGCGTTCAGGCGTGAAGTGATTTCCCGTTACCCAGTGTACATTTTCACACCTTTCTGTGCATTAAATAAACGAAGGACAGACTACGAAATTTACATGCTTCTTTTCAAGGTTCGTGTTGATTGTTATTGCGTCTCAATGTTATTGTTATTTAGTCATTAATATCACATGTGAATTGTATATTTAGTCACTAGGTTCCCCTCATTACCTAAAACAAATTTTACCATATTCATTTCTAAAAGACTTGTAAAATACAAGTATTGATGAATTAATCATTTGATTTATGGATGTCGATTTATAGAAAAAAAAACCCGGAATTTTACTGTGCTTTTTTAGATGGTGTTTAAATTTCAAGTGGACCGACGGTCCACCTAGTCCAGAACATTTGGTGGACCTTCCAATTTTTTGGTGGACTTGGGCCGCCGGTCCACCATTAGTGTCGAACCCTGCTTATAACATCATTAAATACATGATATTTTTTAAAAAGTTCTTGTTTATTTGTAATGCACAAATGCTAGATTTCTACACTGTGTTTTGTTCCTTTTCCATATCATAACTCAAAACGTACAATGGTATACATCTCTATAATAAATACATGAGCATTTAGAACTTTATGCAGATATGTACAAGGCTATATAAAAATATATATAGAAAATCTTATTCAAAAGGACCTTTTGGAAAGGTTTTATATCCCACATGAGTAAATAAATACATCAATTTCACAACAAAATATGAAAGGAATCAATTATTTTCAAATTTATATCACTATTTACCATCCCTGATCTGTCGCATCAAATGCATTATTTTTCTCCAAAAAAATATCTTTCATTACATATACCAGCATGAAAAAGAAGGAGTCCTATTATCCACATAGTTCTAATGTTTTTTAAAATTACTGACATTTTGATATTTCACACTGGACTAAAATTTCATTTTCTTGAAATGATATGTTAAAATGTTTGCATGAAATATGCATATGAATTAATGAAATCCTACAAAATTAATCAAAAAAAATCTTATCACATACATGTATAACCCACAGACTTTTATAAAAGATGTATGAGTGTGTAAAAAATGTGAAGCAATACTGTAGAAAGATTGAGCTGCAGGTTTCTGGTAGAGATAAGGAATTTTCAGAAAGACCTATCCTCACAGAAAAGTATAAACTAAACAACAGAACTGAATTCAGTCAGAGATTACACGCAAACATACATGTACATTTCTCAACAACTTTTTTTTTGTTGCATTTACTATTACAATGTATTCATACATATTAAATGTACAATCACACTGTCATGGCCTTGTACAATATTGTACAACTTCTACATCGACAGATATTTCAAAATGGATATTGTAAATTTTAACAAATATAATCCACAATTTAGAAAATACAAACTTCGAATTCTTAACCATTGTTTCTAAGTTCATTGTTTACTGTAAACCACCTTTTATTCACAGGAACTTTATTTTCGCGTAATTACACGAGACAATTTGCTTGCGAAAATTTCATTCTCGTGTATAATAGCATTCCTTATGATTATATGGAACAATAACCACAATTTGTGAAAATTTTGTCTCGCTTCTAAAGAGACATTGACTATCTCGTGAAAATAAGGTGTCAGGAAAATTTAGCGATCTACAGTATTCTAAAGCCAGCACTGAAATTACAGGTGTACATGTATATCTCTAGTAGTACCCAGCAAAATTTATACATCTGTGTTCACTAATCTATTGCAACAATCATTACCCTACTACAAGCTAAAAACCCTGTTATCTTGTAAAAGAAATTCCTCTAAAATTCTCTCATACATCTACCTTACAGCAATGACGTAAATAACAGATATTCCTAACTGTTCAAAATCCTGTGTGCCTTTTTGTTTACTTTTTCCAAATCTTGTTTAAATCACATAAATCTTTCAAATTATCAGGTTTAATGAACTAAACCTTTTTTATTTAAATCAACAAATTATTCAGAATATTTAATATATTTAATATTTAATGTATTTCTTTAGTGCAATAAAAAAAGATAGAAACTGAAGACAGCAACTGGCAACTAGTGGTGAGATTTCGGCAATTATGGATTACAGACATCTTTATTAATTTATTAATAATTTTAAGATTTTACTAACTGTACACCTATATATAATAGAATTAATATTAATTTAGCCTGAGATCAAAATATACCAGTTAAACCAACTGATAATAAATTTGAAAAAAAATGCTGTGTTCATCATATATTTCGCAATTGCTCCTGTTAAAGGCAGTTGTGAATCTGTTATTTATGTGTCCAATATTTGTTTTTGGAATGTTACATTATAAGGCCATAAAATTAAAAGCACAAAGTGAGTTGATATCTTTCACTCTGGATACATACTGCCACACACACCCAAACACTGATTAATCTCAGTTTCACCATTATAATAAATAAAAGTCCTATTGAGCACCACAGCTATGTTTTCCTCTTCCTGTCTCTTTTCTTTATGGATTTCCTGATGAATTGTATGACTTTGTATGGGTCTGTATTGGCATTTTGAGCCTGAATAAAAAAACAAATCATTCTCTGCTTTAGACACAATTAATATTTAATATCATTTACTCTAATTTATAAGTATTATTCTTTATTAAACAAATGTCAATAAGCTAGAAAATTTTTTAAAAGAAAATGTCAGATGCATGCAAATAACTAATGATTTTCATAATGAAACAGTTATATTTTTCCTTAAATCATTTTTTTTTTTTGCATTACACATTACTAAATAAGTAAATTGATGCTGAAACTTATTTTATTAAATAACAATTATCATTGATAAACTGAGAATATTTCATTCCAATCTTTTCAATTCTAATCAATTACATGTAACTCACAGTAAAGAGTTCTAAAGAGCTCATATCTGCACGTATATCCTCTACTGGACCTCTCGTAATAAGGCGAGCAAAGGCCGGAATTCTGCCTAGTTTATCTTCCCTGTCCTAGAAAAGAATCAAACTGGGGACATGATTAATCATGTATGTGAAGGTTATATCAGAATTGAAATCACTAATAATCAAGAATTTTTTTTCTGATCAACCATTGCAAAGGAATAGGTCACTTACTCTGCCCCCTCCCACTTTTCATGATCATATTATTGATTTAAATGATTTTTCTATTTATTTCACTTCCTGTGTTACAAAATAAATGTTAGTTTATATATGATACAAATACTTTATTATAAGATACATGTATATTGTAAATTGAAATTAAGCTTACAAAACTTGGAAGACCCACTCCTGAACTATAACACAATTTCTCCATATCATCAATGAAAGCTGAAATAGAAAGATATAATTCATATTTGAATAAATAAATATTGTTTAAACAGACTGTAATATTTATTTTCTCTTCTAGATTACTGTACGTGTACATAAAATGGCTTATTCAAAATTTAGCGCAATCACTGGGTATGGAGTTGTTGGCGTAATCATGATTTTAAGTGCTACTTATATCCCTGCTGTGTATTTCATTTATAAATGATTTCTTAGCGGTATTCATAAATTAGTGCATCATTGTCCACGCCTAATCCGCTAAAATATGAAGCCCACTTTTTAAGTACATGTACAGTACAAATTTGAAATTCATTCACATACCTCTATATGTAAAATACAGCAAATCATAAAAATCCTGGTCTGCCTCTTCGCTAATAATGATGACTTCATTGTCCTTCTTTGGTAGCTATATATAGATTAGAGACAAACCAATTTGCCTTATCAAAGTATACAAACCTCTATAATCTGTAGAATATATTCACAAAGTGTAATCACCAAAGCTACATGTATCTAACACAGACAAAGAAATCACCAGCTACAAGAACTGATTATCTGATTTTTAAAGAAAGCCAAAAAGCATTTCAGGCCCCCAGGTTCATGAAACATTTCAAATTATAATTAGCATAAGTCAAAATCTACATTTTACTCTGAAATGATGTTGAAGTAAAACAGTCCAAGTATAAATTATTTAACGTTACATCATTAAACAACTGATAGGCAAATTAAGAGATTCAGCTCACAATTGATAAATATTCTATTAAAAAAAAATCAAGTTTTGAATTCAGTCAAGTCTGTTTCATGATCCTGGTGCCAGTTCAGAAAAAGAAAAGTGTTTAAAAAATGAATGATATATGATCCACATTGACTTGTTTGGATATTTAGACATACATGTAAATTGTCCTTAAGGTAGTCCGATCCTCAGGTTCTGAAAATAAGCTTTTCAGTAATTGAAAATGCTCACAAAAATGTCTCTGATTTCACATAGTAACGTGAATTTACCCATGGAATTTCTTCAAAGTTCATCATTATATTTAATCATATTATATAGGGAAAATTATCAAATCTCAAATATATTTTGAATTCAGGAAATGCGAATAAAAACACCTGTTATGCATTTTCTAATTAAAAACTGATCAACAAATATAATTTAGGTGAGAAAAATATAGGTATCCAGGCATTTGGAGAGAATTGCATCTTTTTTATGCTTGTACAGTATTTTAGTTCTTCTTTCTACTTCAATTGCCATATAATACATAGTGTACAAAGCTTGTGCTATCATTGCTAGACATCACATATCACATCTTATTTCATATCATGCTAATAAGCAGTGGTATCTAATGCTAGACTAAAGGAAATTCGATTTCTGTAAAAATGAATTCATTTTTTATTCTTTTATGGGGTACAAATGTCAACTTTTTACAAGACCGTTTCTAAGACTTCAAAGAACCTTAAATCATATGAAGATGCATAAAATGAAAATTGTTGCACGAAAAGATCTCAATTTCAAGCTTCATTTTGAGCTTTTTTAAATAAAATAATAAATTTAAGAGTTATCCTTCCTGGCTGAGGATCGGATATCCTTAAGACTACAATCAGTCATTTTCTCTACTTTTAAAAACTCAGCTGATCTATGAACTCTTGACCCTTGGTACCCACCAATGAAGCTAGAGCTGCAGCCTTTCCATATTTCACTCCCAGTCCCAAAGACATGTGGATCATTATGAGGTCAGAGAAGTAATTATGTTTAGGAAAGTCTCCCGTGTAAAGGTTAGCAGCCATTCTCCAGTTCTCAACAGCACCTACACAAAACAGTCATATGTTAGTACAGTGTATATAGGTGCTTGAGAAAAGACTAGAAATATGTACATAGGACATGAATGCCCCACCGAGGGTATATTAAAAATGCAACATGAAAATTTGTATTAGTGTATGAAATTTGATGAGAATATCTTGAATAGTTTCTTTAAAATTGAAATTGAAATCTAAAAAGTTGGATATAGAATGATGATAAATTCTCGCCAAATTATGTACAAGTGCATAAACTTACATAAATATATCTTAAATGATTTCTTTAAAATTAAGCAAAATGCAAATCTAAGAAAAGTGAGGTTGTCACAGGAAAGTTCAAGGTCAAATGTTTTTGATGCAGTTGAATACTTCTCACAAATACATATTTGATTTGCATTTTGCTTAATTTTAAAGAAACCATTTAAGATATATTTATGATTATTAGTGATTATAAGAAGTGAGGTCAAGGTAAAAGGAATGGTCAAGGTCAAAAAATGTTGATGCAACTGAAAAGCTCTCATCAGTATATATCAACATATGAAGTTTGATTACACTATCTTGAATGGTATCTTTAAAACTGAGCTAAACACTAATTTAAGAAAAGTGAGGTCAAGGTCAAATGAAAGATCAAGGTCAAGAAATGTTGATGCAGTTGCATAGCTCTCATCAATATCTATCAGCATATGAAGTTTGACAAAAATATCTTGGATAGTTTCTTTGAAACTGAGCTTTGAACAGCAAAGTGTGATGGAAGAACAGACGGAAGGATGGAAGACGGACATGACAAACACTATATGCCCCGGTCATTTCATGGCGGGGCATAAAAATCAGGTAGAATATTTCAACTGTTACAGTAACAGGCAAGGAAAAAATGCAAGGGACCCAACCAAAATTTGAATGTGGACAATGTCCTGAATCACTAGCTATATACAGTGTAGTTAAATGCTCTACCCGCTGAGCCACCCAGGCAATATCCACAGTCCATATAGCCTAAACTACCACATTCCTCCATCCTTAAACAGTCTTTGACCTTGGAGACATAAAACAACACAAGTTCACCATGTCAGAAATTGCTAATTTATATAAAACCTGAACAAGGACCCCCTACACATGGGCCATCAAATGTATAAGGAAAGAAGGAATGAATAAAGAAAATATATGGCTAGACAGGGAATATTGGCCTGGGTAGCTCAGTGGATAGAGCATCTGACTAGTGATTCTTGGGGCCCAGTTCAAATCCTGATCTAGTCTGTTGTATTTTCCTACTCTTTTGTTACGTAACCAAGTAGTAGCACCAAAAGAGTAAGCCATGTTGGGTGGAAAGCTCAAAAAGATTATAGAACATCTGATTTAACCAATCTAGAATAAGAACTAAGAACTTACTACAGTAAAACTTGTCTAACCGGATACCACTGGTTCTAATGAAATTGGCCAGATTAGTCAACATTCCGGATTAGACAACATTTTATACAAGTGAATTTACTGAAATGGACTTAAAGTTAACATCGTATTAAGCAAGATTTCAGATTACCCAACATCCGGATTAGACAACTTTAAGGCCAAAATAAAAAATACCTTTGTTTCCCCTAACGCGACCGACCCACTTAAATCATGCCGACTGAAAGTTTTTTTTAAATAAGATTAGTCAACTATTTATTTTTTTTTATTGTTTATTAACTTTATAAAATACAATTTCATCAAAATCCGTTTTTTATCAGAACAGTGGCTTTTGTTTTACTCTCATTTGGCGCCCACAACATGTGGCCACAGAGGGTTAGTTCATGTTATAAAACAACGACGACGTATCAATCTTATTATATATCTTTAACCTATAAGAATCCTACACTCTTGAAACATTTTGTAAAATATACCATGACTAAGGAGTGTTAAAATGGTATTTACGAATGTGTGTTCTAAAATTAAGTAAGCATGGCAAAGCCTTCCTCATGAGCAGATGAGGGGCCCACCTTGTGTATGCATATCAATAAATTTCACTGCATTTCATTCGTTTGGATCTAATAAACAATTCATGTATGGTCCTATTTTTACTATATAGGACCATGGGAGTTGTAAATATGTCTTTGTATAAATATTCCATCTTGATAAATATAATTCAGATGTCGTTTCTTCATTCCTTTTATTTCTGGGGTACACTTCGTGACTATAACATTAGATACATGTATATGAAACTTTAATCATTTTAGATATGATTTGGTTAGATTAAATATTGTTTGTAAATACATGTACATGTACACTCTTTCTAGATAGTGTTGAAATCTTTAAAATTGACTTATGGTATGGCTTCCTGAGACATACAGTGTATTTTTCTATAGTAAGGCCCTTGAAAAGAGGTTGTTTCTTTCCTTTAAAATACCTTTAAAAACTGATGGGGCGACAACATTTGAACACCTGCCTGGTGGAGGGCTCCTAATTTAGACTTTTACTCGGCACTTATGGCCATTGATCATTCAGCATCAGTAAGGGATCTTTTTCATGCCAACATCTACATGTATACTGCAACACTGGACCTACGTTTTTTTTTTTATGGTCTCATTCGACTGACCAGTCTCCACCTCCTCGGGACCTGTGACTTAGAATAAGCTCCTGAATTACGTCGTGACTCCAAAACGATACACTAGAATCACTGCGTCACGCGAGTCCCTTGACATTTTGTCTGTGTAAGAACTCGAATATGATAGAAGTTTGAAAAATATACTCGGATGTCCGATGGTTGAGTATTTGCGAATCTTGTTTTGTTGTAAATGTTCGATTTCAATAAATTTACGCTGGCCTGAGACATTTCACAAGTTCAATTGAATAATATTTTTGATTTAATGTACCATACATATTGCTTCATTTGTATGAAATTTAAAAATTGGTTTCTTTTGTTCTTTCTTATTTATAAAGAAATTATTCAATTTTTCAGAATGTATTTTCAAAACTTCTGTGAGAAAAAAAAATAATTTACATGTACCTACCTACCTACCCAACTTGAGATTTTAGGGTCGGGTTAGGGGAAACAAACTTATTTTTAATGATGGCCTAACTGTAGTTAACTTTGCAAGTGTATACTAAGCTAGTGCAATCAAAACCATCTTAGAGTTTGACAGTACATATGTATGTATATATCTGAAGGAGAACTTTCAGAAAAAAGACAAATTTTTTTCATGTTTAAACATAAAATGTACAATGTACATGTATTTCAGATGATAATGATATGAAGAAATCCATTCTTACATTCAAGGAAAAGAGAAGCTATTCTACATGTATACGAATTGCCTTCTTTGATTAAAATTTATTATAAACAGAAGTTTTCAGATTTGTCTATTTTAAAGAAATATATGGCATATTTGAACTAAAAAATAATAATTCGAAATTGAGTTTAGATACACGATTATATATGTTACGTACATTCAAATGAAAATTTTGAACTCAGATATCCTCACGTCTCTATAGTAAAATTGACTTTAACATTGCTATTCGAATCCCTATTATTTTTGTGGAGTCGGTAAATAAATCGGTTATTGTTTTAAATTTTTTATTTCTTTGAAATGTGATTGATTTAAATTATGTAATTTACAGAAAAGTCCTATCTTTATATAAAGTAATGAATCAAATAGAAAGACCTTTTTAATTTTGTTTATCTGAATTTATCAACAATACACCATATATACATTGTACCTTTAAGCTTGTGTGAACAATCAGAGTTGCGTACTGTTTGTGTACAGTGGCGCCTCATTTATCCGGACGCCTCCGTCCCCAACGAAATTGTCCGGATAAATTAATCGTCCGGATAAGTGAATCACCTCTTAAAAACCCTCTCAAAGCATGTATAATATTATATGCATATACAGGTATCAGATGTGAAGACAAAGGGAAAATATTAATATTTTGGTTTATTGTTTTTATTTTATAGTTTAAAAGAAATAAATTAATTAAAGAAGAATATATTAAAATGTAATTTAGACGATAAAAAAATGGATCTATTGGCAATTTTATGCCAAGACCTCCCTTTTTAACACAGGGAATTTTATTCGCCTTCTCTTTGGCATGTGACTTCATGGGCTGAGCAAATTTTGATCCATAACAGTTTTATTTCACCGTACTTTATAATTATTGAAGCTCATAAAATATGAGAGCATCATTGTGAAAATGTTAAAATATAAAATACCCCCGTAAATTCATTACATGTTACACAGGGCTGCTATAGTAACTGGACACTGAAAACTGACTCAAACACGCGCAATCAGTGAAAGTATTGTAAAAATTCAACACAAACACAAGCCATCTTAATGTCAGATTATCAATATTTTTTTTCTACAGACTTTAAGTTTAAATTTCAATTTAAAAATAAAATACCTTGAAAAACGTAATAAACTTTTATACCCAATGCCACTTTTATATTTCTCTTCTAAAGTTACGTACGTTTATAGGCGGACTATCAGATTAAATAGAAAGACATTTCTTCAATTATGTACCTTTTTAAACTGTCCTGTGAAAAAAAGCGTTTCAAATACATTTACGTTTTTATAGAAATGGAAAATCATATTTTAAACTTATGTAGTCAACATGATCAAGGTCATTACGAAATCGCTCGTATTATTGTTCATTTTTATATGTAACTCTCCAAATTTTTTATGAATTTACAGATGTATATACAATTAGCAATATGACTTTGAACGGTTCCTTATTTAATTAATGAAAAGTGTAAGCTAAATTCTTCGAGCTTCATAATACACATGTAATTGTGGTAAACACAGCTAATTTTAGACGCTATTGTTTGTAGGTCACTGCATGGCCTATGCTTTTACAACAATTAACACTACTGCAAGATAAGTGTGAAAAAGACGTTTCTTAAAAAATTATCGTCTGGATAAACGAGTCATTTTTCACTGAACTATTACGTTTTGTAGTAGAAATCAACTGTCCAGATGCGAAACGCGAATTTCCGGATTAATGAGACAGAATAACGTGGAAAAAATCGGTTCCCAAAAAATATCGTCCGGAAGGTGAAGCGTCCGGATAAACACGGCGCCTCTGTATATACATATTCTTAAGATCAATTAAATGATACATTCAAAAACAATTTTTAATGGCATGTACATGCCAAACATTGGGTTTTTTTCATCACATGAAGATGGAAAGCGGTCAATTTACCTTGGTACCTGGTTTGATCCAGGAAGTTGTGTAGGTGAGGGTGGACCTGACTCGCCCCACCGTGAGGTAACATGTCCCAGATAAACATGGGGTACTTATAGCTCTTGTCCACTGCATGTGCTTTCAGTAACCTTTAAATATCAATAATATTTCACCTGTATCTACAATGTATCACATATATGTACTTGTATAAACATGTTGCTGATGGTGTGCGCAACAAAATAAATTTGTGACAACTTTTCTATTAAGGTACTTTGTTTTGAGAGAACCTACATGTACAAATCTAATGAAGAAGATAAGTACTCAATCTTTTTTAATTATTTTAGATAGCTATCTAGAAGTTAAAGAATATAAATCCAATCACAAACACTTTCATGAAAAATATTTTACCCCCACAGTATTATTGTTAATATTACTATGGGGGTAAACTTTTATTAAGAGAAAAAAAAATGCCTGTGAGTCCAATACTTCCAAACTGAGTTTTTCATCTTTTTTTTTTAAAAACAAGTAAATATTCATAAACTATTTTCTTCTCTTTTCACTAAAACACAGCCACACCCACTATTTCATGTATTTATCACACTCCAAAGGTTGAACCTGAAACATGACTGTGAAGCTTTACATTAAATAATTACCAGTTATGGGAAGTCTGCATGAGGTCCATGAACTGTGTATAGGTCCAGTTCAGGGGATGATGCTTCTTGAATAGGGCCAGTGTGTGCCACGTGTCCAGCTTAAAAGTGTTGGCTGCCGTAAAAGAATACTCTGACTCAACGCGACCAAACACGTCCTCAGAAGTGTGCCTGTTCAAAAGAATCTGGAATTACCAGTACTTACTGTCTCAATACTGAATTACTGATCGAATTGAAACACAGTAAAGAACCATTTCTGAATTATACCAAGATTTGTTGTGTGTGCACTACTTGCTATATATATAGTGAGTGTCAACCATCATGATATACAATGTACATTATATAGACATAAATACAATGTATGGTAATATTTTTATAGCAAAGTATTAGGGACCAAGAATTTTGCCTTGAAGTTCATTATAAATGTGATTCATTAATTTTAAAATTTAAAAATCTGGGAATGAAAATCACTTTGCAGTACACATAAGCATGATATCATTATATGCGTACTCACTATAAGTGTGTTTTACTGTATACCATATCTGCACACTTTTCAATAAAACTGATGTAATTTTAATTATTAATTCAAATTAAACACTATATGCTCTATAAGTGTTGCATTATTCAGTGTATGTTTAAATCATTCTTAGGAGTGAGACCTTCAGTGACTTCATTGGAACTGGTACAGTCCGTGAAACATTCTACTTTCCCATTTTTCCGTTCGCTCACCGTTCGTTCACCGTGCATTCAGCGTTCGCTCTCCATTCACAGATTTGCGTTCTGCATTCACCGTGCGCTCGCGTTCACCGTTCACAAAGCGTTCAGCGTTCACTCTTCTTTCGTTCACTTTGCGTTCACCCTGCGTTCAGTGTTCACTCTCCGTTCGTTCACTTTGCGTTCATCCTGCGTTCAGTGTTCACTCTTCGTTCGTTCACTTTGCGTTCACCCTGCGTTCAGCGTTCACTTACTAGTATCATTCAGTCTTCAGTGTCATTCGGAACTCCAAAGTGAAAGGACTTATATTATCTTTTTGTTAGTAAGGATTTACAGCTTATTTTGATTTAATAATTAACATATCGTGTTTAAAGAATCATTATCTCAAGGGGAAAAAATATTCACAATATTCAACTTATTATTATCATCTAACTTAGCTGTAAGGTAATTTACTCTGGAAAATAAATGTTGTTATAAGTATGTACCTATGCAGAACGATGCTGAAAAATTAAATTTAAATACAGGCAATATTAAGATGCTTCAAGCACTGCAACATTTTGTTGTTATGTTAAAGACGACAAATTGTTAATGCATAGATAATTATCCAAGTCAATTAATTGACAAACTGTAGTAAAATTACGAAAATACTTATTTCTAACACGTTTTTTTTTTCAATTACTACAGAAATACATGATAAAACTAGTTCTGAGAATTATACATAGTACTGCGGATATCCTGTTAATTAAATTTCTTTGGAGCGAATTGAACTGAGTGTGGTTTTAAAAAAAAATATTTATTTAAAATGTAATACACTACAGGATTTTCTCTACTATAATAAATAAAGTCTATAAGTCTATAGTTAGAAAGAAAAATTCTTCCTTCACTGTAACTTTATATGTTTGACATTTGATATGATTAAGAGCCCCCCCCCCCCCCCCCCCAAATTGGTTACTTAGTTAGTATTTCCAGTATATTTTAATTAATATTTAAAAAGAAGTTAATGTGTTTTGTAGCACAAAAACTGCAGTCTCAAAACAACATGCATCTAAAAAAGTCATTAAACAATAGCAGTTCAAAATATACACGTGTCTGTGGTGGTATTTTAAATTGGCAGAGAGTATGTTTCAATTTCATATGAATATGCCTCAGAGTCTTTGTATTATCTTGTCTGAGTAAAATCACGGGAAAATGTCCACAGGTAGATGTACAAGTCTGCTCAATAAATCATCATAAAAAATAGAATTGACACATCAATATATTATTGCATTAAGAATTTAAAATACGAGTGTATTTATGCAAATACGTCCACGGACCTTTGTTATTTTTTTTTTTCATTATTTTACACGGAATCGCCTTGACACGGAAATATATGAATGGATGTTACAACCGTTGTAATTCATTCTATAATTCAGAAGTTTTCTCTTATTTGTTATGGTTATTAATATCAAATAAGAATGGACATACCTATTTTCCAACTAAAATAATTTTATCTTTTATACTACAGCGTTCGGTAACAATTACACGTACAATCTTTTACAGCGATAAAAATCGCGTGATTACATGTAAAAGTTGAGTTTAAACATCATACAAGAGAGATACTTAATGTGCATATCATCTTTCTTAAGAAAATTTTGTAGCATTTATTTATTTAATCAATGATTTGTTTATTTATCTATCATTTATTTATTTTTTGGCACCTGACATTAGAATACAATAGAATGGTTTCAATGTAAGGAAAAGATCAGAAGCATTCCGAATAAATCGTTCATCTTGCATTCACCGTTCATTCACCATTCACTTTGCGTTTGCAATTGCGCTCCGTTCGCGTTCTGAGTTTGCTCACCGTTCACACATCGTTCACCAAGTTGCGTTCAGCGTTCACACATCGTTCACTCACCGTTCGCTCTGTGTTCGTTCAGCGTTCGTTCACCGTTCGTTCAGCGTTCGCTCACCGTTCAAGTGGGAAAGTAGAATGTTTCAGGGACTGTAAATCCCTTATTCTGTGTACACAATATACATGTTCATGTATATACTGACTCACGTTTTGTATCGGCAAAAATCACACGTCTCAGCAGTTTTCTTTGATATTTCCTCCACACTGGAAAGAATATTTCACATTTGGTCTGACATACATGTATGAGTTTCAATATGTTAACTAAAGACAAAATTAAGAAGATTTTTTTTTAATTAAAAAATAAAATCCCCAATACATGTATTACTATATATTTATACTCACTATTCTCGTTCTGGTCTTGGGGGTTTAGACATGGGTCTTTTTTCTCTCAGAGGGTTGTATACATTTTCCTCCCTTGTATATTCATTGTATATAAATAGGATTCTCTGTCAAAAAAAATTCACTAGAGTATACCAATAACAATGGAAACACTGAATATATAATTCAAATGCATTTTTTTTTTAAATAATGTCAGATAGGAGACCAGTAACACAAATCCTATCATTACTTTTAAATATAAACCTTGGACATTTTGTCCTTTAAAATGTTAAAAATGTTATATGTTAAATGAGAAGATGGTTTTCAAATATGGAGTTCTATATTTCAACATGTAAATGGAAAAATTACTTTTACACCTCTACTAGTAACTCAATAAAATAATGAATACATGTAGCATGTTGTCAAAAGGTGAAAGGTGAATATAACCAACAGTGATCAAACTCATAAATCCAGTAAACAAAACCAATCATGAACAGGGCAAAAACAAGGACCCCCTGGAAACACCAGAATTGGGATCAGGTGCCAAGGAGGAGTAAGCATCCCCTGTCAACCAGTCACACTCCCTGTGAGCCCTAGGTATTGATCAGGTAGATTTACTCCATAGTCAAATTTAGTATAAAAGCAATTACCTACCAAATGGTATGAAACATTTCAGACAAAATACAAACCTATGATATGGTGCATTTACAAACAGAGCTCATTCATAAAATCATAAAGAATTTGAGAATTAAGAGAGAGATACATATATACATATTATATATATATATATATATATATATATATATATATATATATATATATATATATATATATATATACAAACCTGCTCTTTGACATTGTTGAAAAGTTCCTCATTTCCTCCCAGCCAACCTTTGACCTTTGCTGCAAAGGTTTCTGGGATCACTACCTTGGCAGGGTGCTCAGTTATTGTGAAAATTGAAGAAAATCTTTTATACATATCTCTGCAAGTGTAATGATGTAATAAAGCAATTAATTTGACAATAAGGCCAAATAAAAAAATATGTGTGGTTCCGGTTACCCGACCGTCCCTATTTTATACCCCCGACCCTAAACTTTTTTCCGGCAATTTTCATATTTTTTCCAGAATTTTCCCCAACTTCCATCATCGGCTCCAGTATTAGTTTTAGTTTCAGCGATGGCGGTCTCCTTGCAAAACATCATTTCAACACATAGTGCAAGTTTTTGATAGTGTTAAATCCAAATCAAGCTAGCATGTAGGTGTCCCCTACCAATGTTGACTAGTATATTATCACACCACATCTAAATGCCACTTGCAAAGCAGTGATAGGTATTATTTAGAAAAATTAAGAAAATCATTTTGTAAAAAAAAAAAAAAAAAAAAAAAAAAAAAAATTCCCTACCTACCTACCATAATATTTTTGGAGATATAACCGGAACCACACATATTTTTTTGTTTGGCCTAAAGTTAAAATTTGTAAGAATGCCCAATAAGTCATTATAGAAAATGAATAAAAGTTTAATGCCCCAAAATGCTTTACAAGCTAACCAGTGAGTACATTTACAAGGATGGTTCCATGGTACAATGTATGTGTATATCAAGGGTACAGTGTATGTGTTTATCAAGGGTACAGTATATGTGTATATCAAGGGTACAGTATACATGTATATCAAGGGTACAGTGTATGTGTACATCAAGTATACAGTGTATATGTATATCAAGGGTACAGTGTATGTGTATATCAAGGGTACAGTATATGTGTATATCAAGGGTACAGTGTATGTGTATATCAAGGGTACAGTGTATGTGTATATCCAGGGTACAGTGTGGGTGTATTTCAAGGGTACAGTGTACATTTAAATCAAGGAAAATTAATATGAATGTATGTTTGTGGATGTTTTTTTTTCTTCCCTTTTTGGTACAGTTTCTAAACAGTTGGTTAAAAACAGCTTTCAAGGTGAATCAAATCAATAATTTTTTATGCAAGATCATTATAATTTAAAGTAAGGATTTTTTAAAATGCCAGTTAAAAAAATAACATTGTAAAAAGCAGGAAACATGTAGCTTACTGCACGTCTTTCAAATTTTAGCATTCTTATACATGTATATTGTCAAATTAGCTAAAATGTAATCTAAAGTAAAAATATCATCATACACTTCTACTTTTCATTTTATATGCATATATGATATACCGGTTACATGTGCTGTATATCTATGAATCTGAATACGAATAATTGTGAAGGTACATAAGTGCTCGCAGTGTACTTGTACTTGTACAGACATACTTTTGACTTATACACATGTACCAACTTTCATTATGGGATAAAAGAGTTCATAATCCAATCATCTAACTTTACTATGGACCATAACCCTGTCTACTAATATTCTCTGGTCCCTTTAATTATATTAGTAGACTTACTGGCATTCAAATGCTGTCGATTTTTTCCATTTATCCAGAATCTTGGGATAGTCCTCCAAGGAGAGTGCTTCCTCTGATTTCATACAGTATTTCTTGAACCATGCCTAAAAAGCGGTTTATACATATGATGCAAGACAAACATTCACTTAGTGTGCAAATTACTTTGTCCATGCATAATTATTTCACAATCTAAAGTTTTGATAAGAAACCAAATGAAGATAATAATATGATCATTACTTGAATCATTTTAAAACTTTTCTCTTGAGTTTTTGTATTGGATTAATAAGTACATTACATGTACATGTAATAAGATCTTGCTTGAAAAAAAAAATGTACAAGCCTTAAATCATTTATCTAATGATACTTAAGCGTTTTTTTCCCTAAACACAGCCATTTTCCAGCGCTACAATGTTACAATGAGAGTTAGGCCAAAAAAAATTATTCAATAGTTTCTTAGGCACTGCCGTATCAGATCAAAAACTGTCACATCGATCAATTTTATTGACACATTAAAACTGGAAATGACTCAATTTTCTTTTTTTACCAAGTTGAAAAGGAAATTCGAGTTATACCCCTTTTCACAAATACTTTAATTAGATAAACTTTATATTTCTTGTTAATACAGTATTTTAGGAATGAAGTTTTAAACAACTCTTTGGAATAACATTATTTAAAGTTGAATACATATTATAAATAATGTAAGAGAACAAAAAAAAGTAAGTTGAACGACTGACAAGAATAAATAAGATATAACACCTGATTCAAAAAAAAAAAAAAAAATGCCTGCCTCATTGAATTTTGAAATTTTTGCCCTGAAAAACCATCAATTTTTTTGGTCTTAGTTATTTTTCAAGTAACCGACCCATGACTATGTTCTACTTTTTTTTTTTAGAAAAGTGGGTGGAGGATCCACTGAAATTACAGCATTGACATACTGACCTCTGAATCCCCTGCTACTTGTAGTGCTGGCCACTCTGTGTACTGATTATTCCTATGTTTGGTAATCGTGTATCGAGTTTTGTTTGAAGGTCGTAGAAAGGAGGTCATCAAATACAACAGAATTACTATGGAGACCAGTAGAATCAGCAACTGCCATTTCTTAAAGCTAATAACCTTTGACATTTCACCGTTCTGGTTCATAACATGGCTTTTATCCTGAAAGCAATATATTCATTATTTAATGATTAAAAAGGGAAGAGGCAAAAGCAAAATATACATTATTTACTAGTATTAAATCTGGAGAGAGGTAATGCAGGGTTTGACATTAACTTTTAAGAGTACTAGACCAGTCGGGCTACTTCCCATAATTTTTACTAGCCCTGACCATAAAATCACTAGCCCTGACCAAACTTTAAATTTTATTTATTTCTTAAAATCACTAATTTTAATGAGGTAAATAATTTGAAATCGTTTCTCTTGCGTATTTAAAAAAGATTTTTACCGAATAGCCAATTGAGTCGGGTTCATCAAGACATGCGAATATTGTAAGCTTTAAAGATCATTCAACGAACTTTAATAATTTTTTGTTATCCTGAATAATAATAAATAAATTGCAGAATATATTTTTTCAGTAACTATTTATACCATATTGATACTGAACGACGCTAGTTTCTACCACAACTTTTCTATTACATTCTTGGCTGTGTTTACAATCGGACAAATTAAGAAAAATTCTTTAAAAGTTTTTGGAACATTAATTTGAAAGACTGAAATGGGTTTTAACAACCCAGAATTATTTTATCAACACGACCAATCGGTCTAGTTCAGGTACATTTTACATGACCGGACCACTCATTTACTAGACTGGGTCGGTCGGACGTGCCTTAGTGTCAAACCCTGTAATGCATAAACCTAAACTGCTGTCACTACGTTTTACTGTGCAGCTCTTTCTTCTCTAACTACTTTTGAAAAAATGTTGTGGTTACATATTCACATATTTCTTGAGCATTTCCAACATCAAATAAAGTTTACAACAAAAATAACAATGAAATTTAATGCATTAACTGTTTAGATGTCAAATTAATCTGGTGGGAAATCCAATTTTGTTTTTTCAAATAAAAACTTAGTATAAATAAAGCCACATTGGTGTCCTTACCAAACTTGAGTCCCAGTCAATGTCAAATATTCATGAAATCTGCCTCATATATGTTTCTTATAATTTTGTTGATGACAACACTTTGATTTTATGACACGTCGATTCAATAAGAGTATTTCTTTTAAAAGAGAAAACAAAATTTTATCTATCTAATATCTAATCAAAATTCATAATGATTGATAAGAAAAACTCAACCTGGGATTTAAATTTAGAAGATATAGTAAAATGCTTTAAAGCTGACTTTGAACTGTAATCTTAATGATCTCTTTTTGATGATAATCTAACTGTGTCTTGAGACATCCTCTCGACTGGGTACATAGAAACCTATTACTGGTACTTTGGTGATCAAACATATCCACTCATACATTGTATTTGACACATGTACATGTATATTTTATTTCTTGGTGAGTTTTTCTTATTTGACACACAGAGGCTTGCTGTTGATGTGCAAGAGATATTCAGCATATGAAGGAAAAAAAACAGTAGATGGTAATTAGTATTTTTTAAAGATTTTTTTTTCACACTGGGAGCAAGCCCCTGAGTTGATAACAAAAGAGAAGCATGAAAACAGACCTCCAGATAAGGTGCATTTACAGTCACTGTATTTCCAGAAATATGCTTTGAATGTGACAATTATTATTATCCATTAAATATTTTAAAAAATTATGCATTGATAATCATACATATTCAGCATTACTCTTTGATAGTAATGTGAAAGACAGATTGATTAATACAAGTACAACATATCTAATAATGTGAATTAAAGTTATAGCCAAGTGCTTGAATTTTCATACATGACATAAAGTGATTGAATGACAGTGACGTTTCCAGCAGTGGTGAAAAAAATGTTGCTGAAAAATTATCTGGAGCTCTGTAAAAATTTTGTTCGCATTTATGTGGGAAGCAACTAAATACATATGGTTGATTCACGTATACACATTGTACCAGCATTGATTTGAAATGAAATAACAACGTTGCAGTATTGCCGAATAGAGCTAGAGCAAGGGAGAAAAGGACAAGGGTGAGTCTTTTCAGTCTACATTGGCCTATTGTAGTTTTTAATTTACCATCAATACCTTGTTACAATACGTGGGCTTTTAAAATCTTTTCTTTATAGGATGCACGACAAGACACTCTGTATACCTTGAATGATCGTTGCATTGATCTCATTCATCAGTTCGTACAATCCATAAAGTCGATCGAAATCAGCGTCAACATTAAAAATCAGTCAGATGAATAGAGAAAATGAGGGGAAAAAACAAGTAATTCAGCATTTGATTCATTAAATTACGGTTAGTTACCTCTGTTTGACTTATGTTACTCGTAAATTTCGAAATATTCTTCAATTTGTTGACTCAAAGCAAACTTCTCACCCTGGTCGCAGACATGTTTACCTTTTTTAAATGAACGCCGAGCCCGAACGAAATAAAAATCAAAGTACTAAAAATACTGAAAGGTACAGATAAGAACAATAAATTTTATAAATATTGTACACGAGCTTTCTTTACGTAACTAACATATTAATTCATTTTATTTTGATTTTTCTTTTGTAATGGGGAAATGAAGTTCTATCAGCCACTTTCAAAATATTGTAATTGTGCAAAATAGCTTGCTAAAAGGTTGCGAAAGCATAAATATCAATTAAGAATTAATACACGTATTTTTCTTTTCACAAAATAAATAACCCCTTCTTCATGAATCACAAGGTACACACCGCTGCCATTTTGATTTTTTTTCTTGGACAATTACATCACATCATTTTTTTTTTTTAATTCTCCCTCTGAAACTCAGCGATATCTACATGTTTGTAACAATTCTCAGTAAAACCAAAAGTAGGCATCACGCGTGCATTAAAAAAAAAAAATTTTCAACTTCTACCTACTTTTACAGAAATCTGAGAAAACATAGGCCCGTAAGCACACTAAAAAAATCACTAACTCGAGCTGAATATAATTTGATATCGTTCACTAAAGTAAAGAATTTCTTCGTTTATTTGCCAAATCTGTACGGCTTACATGTACTTAATATGTCAAAACAGAGACCTACATGATTGGATAATCTTCATTGTAAGAATAGCATATCTCTGTTCATAGCGGGGATTAGGGGAATAAAAAAGATTATTAAAGTAAATCTTTTTTTTTAATTTTTGTTTTATTAAATTTATTTGAAATGTTTTATTAATGAATTTCTTTCTTAACTTATCAATCTACATTCATTTATGAGTTTTAATAATTTTCATGCAATACGTGTACATGAATTCAGATTCTTATTCTTTTTTTTTTTATCCGCAAAATGATAAATAAAAGATAATCTACAGAATTTTTCAGCTGTATGAATTTTAATAACAGACAACGTTCAAAATCATTGAGCAAAAGATAGCTTTAACCTAGTACTCGTAACATCAAAAATCAACCAATAACTGTAAACTGGGGAGAAGTCGGATCCGGACCCTGCGTAGTTGAGACTTCCGCTGAGGGTATACATTTCGGATTGTGATGCACGTGCTGACTACCGTGGACTTCCACTGTCTCCCCTCGGCATGCCAAACCCTCTTTACATGGGCAATAGTTCATGAACATATTTGGATTACCAAAGTCGTGGACTAGAAACACATGGCAAGTCTGTCCTTGGTAACGGCGTGCATGACAAGTACCTTTCGATGCCCCGAAAATGAAACGGCGCATGCGCCTGTCTTCAGCAACACAACATTCCGTGTCTCCACAGTCCGTGGAGGATGTGCAAGACTCTCCCAGAGAATGAACTGTCTGCGAAGAAATATTTCAGTATTATAATCAAAGATGGCGTTTGTTTGTGTAAGGGAAAAAATCAGGTAATAGTCTCATGATTGTATAAAACTGTATGCAAATTTTTGTAGTTACAGTATAATTCTATAGTCAATTTCATGATAACGTGAATTAGCTTTTCGTAATGATATTGATTATTAAATATATATATATAAATAATTACAATAGGCTATAAGTAACGGAAACAATTGTTGTTCAAACTATACACGATGGAAGATACAGTGCAGATACGTACGACTTAAATAAGAAATGAAAATTGTACTCTTTATTCACACACCGACCGTCTACCACTAACGCCATAATCAAGTAAAATATTATTGTATATCCAGGCGTTTATTTCTGTCTATCTAGTATGGAATTTATTTTGCACTTTGAAGTTAATGGACGTTCATTTATTATTTTCTTGAATAGGATTGATTTTCTGACACTTACCACCAAAATGTCCACAATCACCAAACAGAACAGCGAGAATTTCATGTTTTCTTATATCAGTATAATGGGAAACACCAGGTGGATGTGTACTAAACTGACGAAACAAAACAAAGGTGAAGGAAAATTTCCGAAAATTAAGCACCGTAGTTAAAAGCTATTAAAAAAATTGAACAAAATTAAGTGATGTAAATATTACAGTTAAGGTTAATATGATATGCACTGTAACAATTAAAACTACTTTTTCCAGTCGTTGTTATTGTTGTTGGCTTTCTTTTTAACTAGCTGTCATGTTCTTTTCTTTTTCAATGAAACGGGGGTGTAAATGGTAAACAAAGAACTTGTCAGAACTCTAATATTCCACCCATGCACTCAGGTAAATTTAACAATATAAGAATATTACTGTAAAGATACAAACGATATATTGTGACATTATACATAACTTTTGATACAAGTCGAAGTGACTTCAGTAATATTTGAAAAAAAAATGTATTTTTCTTCAATAAATCCAAGAAAGTTTACTACTAAAGTTATTTTATAATTTAGCTTAATTCATCTTACACTTCAAGACTTCGTGCTTATTACATATCTTGCTGATAAATATATCATCTGTCATGTTCTAAATTTTGAATTTGATAATTTGAATACAAAATTTAGAACATTTTTGTATTCACTCCCATCCAGTAAATTCAAATTAAGAACATGAACGTTCTTTGTATAATTTATGTATAATTATATATCATCAAATCAAATCAAATGTAATGAAAACACATGATTATATATATTTACATTTACATTTGTTATCAAATGAAATCTAAAGACAAAACGTGAAACCGGTACCGATTACCCAAATCATGTTCCACTGCAATTTGTTTTGTTTTGTTCTTTCTTTCATTTATTTAGTATTGATTTCTTCATTTTTGATAACCTTTTTGTGCTTACTGTTTTAACCTGATTATTGAAATTTCCGTATTTTGAAAATCATCGTAATTTTTTTTCAAAGGAAAAAACAATTTACAAGGCAAGGATTTGTTCATCACATCATATGAAAACCGTTACAGAAGTAAGGAAATGTTCCATACGTAAACTTTACTCTTTTTTTCTTATTTAGAATTTAAAGAAAGAAACTGACAGTACATCAGGCGCCGATCCAGGGATCTTTCGGGGGGGGGGGGGGGGGAGGGGGGGTCCACCCGAGTCAAGAAAAATTTAATCCAGAAATTTCTTGAAGCAAAAAAAAAAAGAAAACAAAACAAAACAAAACAAAAACAAAACAAACAAACAAAAAACGTGAAGTCCATTCCCAAACGTGAAAAAACCCATTTCATGGTGGTGGTGGTGGTTGGGGGAGGGGGGTTCCACGTTTTCTAGAGGGGTGCAATGTCATATTTTATTTGCTTCAGTTTAAACTTCTATTAACTCTGCAAATTCCAGGGTAGGGGATGAACTCCCACCCCACCTCCCCCCTCTAGATCCGCGCATGTTGCATGCAAGAACATTATGTGAAGTTCCTTTCAAGCTGGATTACATACAGGAAAACAAAACCAATGGTACCTGAAAGGAGGACATTTTGAGTTTAGAATTGCTTTGTTGAATGTTACAAACTTTGCAATGATCTTCATGATGAAAGAAAACATGAAGGTTATACATGGCCACTATTTCTTTTATACTGATTTGGTAAACAAATCCTCCGCATGGACAGTGTACAAGTCCCTATCAATAAACAATAACCAGCAATAACCAGTACTCCACATCAAGCGATAACAAAAATCTATTCCTACGGAAGCGTATTAGTGCCATTTTGACACTTTTTATTTTTTAATTTCTACACTTTAATCTGTAAATTTTACACTTTAATCTGTAAATTTTACACTTTAATCTGTAAATTTTACACTTTAATCTGTAAAATTTACACTTTAAAGTGTAAAATTCACACTTAAATCTGTAAATTTTACACTTTAATCTGTAAAATTTACACTTTAATCTGTAAATTTTACACATTAAAGTGTAAAATTTACACTTTAATCTGAAAACCTTAATATACTGTAATTTGTTATAATCAAACGGTCGTTTTTTATGGTGTTATACCTATGACATTTGAAAAATAGTATAAATCTGAGATGTTCACAAGTGTTTGCATCAAAAGTTTACACATGTATATATGATAAGTAAGGATGGGCGATTTGCTCATTGGCCTCGTAACTGTCTACAGGAAAATATCGGGAATCTGTTTTCAATCCAGTACATTTCTTTAGTACCTATAATAAAGATCGACGAACAGTAAAAAATATATATCTCAAATATGTTTGTCTTCTCATGTGCAGTTCAGATTGCTATTGCAAGTTTATGGGTTTATGATCATGATGTAAAATATAACATTGAAAATTACGGTGATTTTAGAACGTAACAATAAAGAAACCTCATTGAATCAAAGGATATTAATTTCTATGTTGTTCCAAAATTAATATAAAATCATATAGTTTAATTATTTACATGTATATACTTTAATAATTAATATATTGATTGGTTATTTAAAAATTTTCAATTCAGAAAGTAATTCAATTGTTGACCGTAATAAATGTTGAATGTAATTCAATTAATGCTATCAATAATTAAACTGCCGAGCGCATCAAATGAATTTGCCTATAAAGATGTCAGTATCATATTCATTGAGATACGTTTGTGTGCTTTGCTCTTCAGTTCCACTGAATTCATAATTCATTCAAATATTCTATGAAAGTATCACTAATATCAGTGATACTAGATTGCTTATTATTTGTATTATATCAATATATATAACTTCTGAAAAGTAATTATTTTCCACGTTTATTGTTAAATAAGAAATCAAAATTAAATTTTATCAAGCAGGATTCATGGTCTGTTGGCTTTAAGGCGTGTTATTTTAAAAGATGTATGAGGCTGCCAATTTGATTATGTGAATTAAACAAATAAAAGTGTAAATTATACAGATTAAAGTGTAAAATTTACAGATTAAAGTGTAAAATTTACAGAATAAAGTGTAAAATTTACAGAATAAAGTGTAAATTTTACAGATTAAAGTTTAAAATTTACAGATTAAAGTGTAAAATTTACAGATTAAATTGTAAATTTTAGACATTAAAGTGTAAATTTTACAGATTAAAGTGTAAATTTTATAAATTAAAGTGTAAATTTTATAGATTAAAGTGTAAATTTTACACATTAAAGTGTAAATTTTACAGATTAAAGTGTAAATTTTACACATTAAAGTGTAAATTTTACAGATTAATGTGTAAAATTTACAGATTAAAGTGTAAAATTTACAGATTAAAGTGTGGAAAATGAAAAATAAAAAAGTGTCCACTTGGCACTAATACGCTTCCGTATATTCCAATAGTTCAAATGTACGTTAAGTACGTGTGAACCAATCTTAGTGACCTAATAACTTACAGTTTGTTTAACATGATAACTTTTGCTCCTGTATTCACGAGTCAATTTATTCACCTGACTTGAAGGCTTATGGTCATCAGTTTATAAAAATAAAATCTGTTGCATATATATTTAGATGCATTCTTTCAAGTCTGTGAATCGAGAAAGGATGCTGTTCAGCAATTTTTTTTATGCCTAAATAACTAAAATTCTTATTTGAAGTATGGATTCCATTAATGAGAAAACTCCCTTAATTCCAACCACAGAGGATGTCAGCCGAAAAAGCAGAACGAGGAGAGTGCACTACTGCTTGTGTTTCATCACGATTCTTCACTACGTCACCACGATAATCGGAAGTTTAGTGATGTCGGAATACACTTTCCAGTATATCAGTGACCAAGAAGGAGAATCAAGCCAGTTGAATTCCCGTCACGCGAGTTCCGGTGAGAATTGTTCTTCCCACCAAAATGAGGCTCAACATAAGTCTGCTCAATGGAACGCATACTATGAGTATGTTGAATACGTTCCCGCACTTCTTGTCGTTATTTTCGGAGGAGTCATGTCGGACTACTATGGAAGAAAACTGTTCATTGTACTTCCCGTCTTCGGAACCTTTCTCCAATATTTTGCCACCCTCGTTGTTTTACAATACAATCTCCACATTAAATATTTCTTTGTCGGCTGCGTGATAGCCGGAATCACAGGGACACATTACACATTAAATGTGGCGCTCTGTGGTACCATTGCAGACGTTTCGAATTATGACAATTCTAGGACGTTTAAGATAGCGTTGTTACATCTTTATGCAGGACTTGGATCAGTAGTGTCACAATTGTCTACAGGGTACATGATAAAGTACCTTGGTTTTACCATGCCTTGTTTAGTGGCAGTAGCATTTGCTTTTCTTAATCTTCTAGTGGGACTTTACATACCCGAAACCTTAGAAAAATCTAAGCAAAAACCCAGTAAGGATAGTTTTTATCAAAAGCTTGGCCGATTTTTCGCTTTTTACACCAGTTCTTCGAATCTCCGAGACGGCAAGGTTTGGCAATTCGTGCTGTGTCTGCTTGCCTTATTTGTCATCATCTCCCCCTATACAACGAAATCAAGTATGGATATATTGTATTTTCTGGGTCAGCCATTCTGTTTTACATCGGAAGAAATTGGCTGGTATAATTCCTTGAACGGCTTAACTATTATTGTGTCCGTCTTTCTTTTGAAATTGCTCCACTTTTGCTTAAATGACGAAATAATTGCTATTCTAAGTTGTCTCTCTGGAATTGCTTGCTTCTGCGTGGAAGGTTTGGCTTCTGGTTGGTGGATGCTAGGCGTTGGTGGGTCATACATATTACTCCAAAATCTCATCAACAGATTTAAGATTCATTGTGTGCAGAGACCCAGGGCCTGCAAAAGTTTTTGAACATACAATCGATGTTCTGAGTTTTAGCTCACCTGAGCCGAAGGCTGTCGTCGTCGTTAACTTTTCACAATTTAATCTTCTTCTCCAGAACCACTGGGCCAATTTCAATTAAACTTGGCACAGACTATCCTTGGGTAAAGAGGATTCACCTTTGTTCAAATGAAGGGTCACGCCCTCTTCCAAGGGGAGATAATTAAAAAATAGTGAAAAATTATTGGTATCTTTTAAAAATCTTCTTCTCAAGAACCAATGGGCCAGGAAAGATGAAACTCATGTGGAATCATCTTCAGGTAGTGTAGATTTAATTTTGTTCAAATCATGACCCCAGGGGGTAGGGTGTGGCCACAATTACGATCAAAGTTTTACATACGAATATATAAGAAACATCTTTAAAAATCTTCTTCTCAAGGACAGCAAAGCCATGATTGGTCATATTTATGTGAAAGCAACCTCAGGTGGTATAGATTCAAGTTTGTTCAAATCATGGCTCCTGGGGGTAGGGTGGGGCCACAGCGATCAAAGTTTAACATAGGAGTTTATAGGAAAAATACTTAAAAATCTTCTTCTCAAGAACAGCAAAGCCATGATTGGTCATATTTATATGGAAGCATCCTCAGATAGTGTAGATTCAAGTTCTTTCAAATCATGACCCCCGGGGGTAGGGTGGGGCCACAATGAAAGTTTTAACTTGTAGGGAAAAAAACACAGTTAGTCAAAGAAATATGTAAGCATCCTTAGTTAGTGTAGATTCAATTTTATTTTCAAATCATACCCCCCCCCCCCTTTAGGGGTAGGTCAGGACCATATATGCATTTAAGCTTTTTAATACTGAACTGATGTTTGCTATTTTCCTAGCCACAGTGCTCAGGTGAGCGATATGGCCCATGGACCTCTTGTTTAAAACCTTGCAATACATTCGGGGACATTTTTAAACTTTAAGAATAAAAGGATATAAAATTATCATACCAAAGAAATAATGTACATTGTCAGTTTCTGCATGGTGAATATTTGCAATGAAATCATGTTTTGGACACTTTACATGATGCAATCATTGTTTCAAAGACCATTGTTATGTGGTTTTTTTGTTAACATATAAACCATTCTTCTCAAAACAATAAGCAACATTTGTAAATTATTTGTTTGATTAATTGTTTTCAGCCATCGGATGTGGAATGATCGCCCTTAATTCGCTTCCTGTCATCAAAGGCATCATGTCCCGATTGGTCAATGAAACGGAACAAGGTATAAGGGACTGCAGCTAGGGCATCATTTTATGAATGATAGATGGAATACACTGGCGGATTTAGAAGAGGGTCCAGCCCCCCCCCCCCCCCTTTTTGTGTCCAAAATAAACATAAGTTTTAATAAATCATTTTTTTTTTTGAGTGGCCGTGGGCCCCTACCCCGATCTCAAACTGGTCGCCCCCTTCTTTTCAAGGTTCCTGGATCCGCCACTGGAATACCTAGAGTGGCAGAACCTACTTTCATTTTTGAAATAATCATTTAATCATTTTAGTGAGCTAACGTGTACATGCCATTGGGCACTTTGTGGTACACGTGTATTGAATTACTTTTTAACCTAAAAAATAAATAAAAGCATTATGTAATTTTAATGTACACAATGTACTGTACAGTGTAGTTTACTTACATGCACAATATACATGTGCATATATTTAATTGTTCAGTTGAAATCATGAATTCATCTTTATTGTTAAATCTCTCTCTTCAGGTGCCCTTTTCGCTAATGTATATGTTTTGGAGACACTCTGTCGTTTGTTTGGATCCACTATTTTCTTCAATATATACGCTGAAACCCAGTACTTTATGAGAGGGTTTGTGTATTTTGTATATGCCGGATTTATTGCTATGGGAGGAATTTCAATGATGTGAGTACTATAGTAGTTTAAATATCTTTCATTGTCGTGATGTACAAGTAATACTCTTTTATTAGTCCTAGGACCGAATCTGGTAAATGAAAAATCTGTGGAAATAAAGCCGAGAGAACATATACCTCAAAAATATGTAGAGATTTACGTTCATGTCTTAGATTTATCTACATTTATAGATAAACGTAACACCAATTCTAATATTTTGTTTTATTTTATTTTGTTTTAGACCTGTACTGATATCTTCTCACAAAGATTCAAAGAAAATGACAGAAATTTCTATACAGACCTGAGAGATCTTCATTGTTGTATGCTGCAAATTCCAAAGTTACCAGCAAAGTGTTAACAGGCAGGAATGAATACCAAGAAAAGATTTTGAATTTTTTATTTGCAGATTTGTAAAATCAACAATTTAAAATACTGGTGTTTCATTTTATATTGGTCTGAGACTTTCCGTTACACCTACAGTTTATCGTGTATCCACATACATAGAATAAGAATCGTTCTATTTTTGGATCAATGAAAGACGACACATTTTTATTGTAAACAATTAAGTTGTATTTTAAAAGTGAAAGGAAAGTGATACACAGGCACATGTTTATTTATTTTAGCATCATATGCATGCGAACGTCGTGTTTACATATCAATCTTTAGTGAAAATATTATTAAAAATAGTGAATATCAATTTGGCCGCATCGGACACAGAGAATATATATATATATATTTTGATTTTTCACTTCATTTCATTTGAACTCTTTTTTGTTCTTCAGGGTATAATAAAGGTCTGAAATCTTTCCATGTTATAGATAATACATGTATATTCGTTATTTTCACTGCAGGTCTGTTCAACAAATTTCTGAATATTTTCAATTAACGAATAAAAATCTGCAATTTAAATGACTACAGATTAGAAAGATACTATACTCTATTTACATAAATATCGTATATGTATATACAATGAAAAACTAAAAAATGGAATTTGTTTTGATAAAAAGTACATAAAAAAAACATCAATGAAAGCTTTATGCAACATTTCATGGAAAATGAACGACGTTTAAATGGCCAGGTTTGGGGTATATGAACGACGTTAAAATGGCCAGGTTTGGAGGATGAACGACGTAAATGGCCAGGTTTGGAAGATGAATTTATTAGCGGCCGCAGCAGTGGATGATTCTATTTGTGGTTGTGTTAAAATGTGCACATGGGAAATGAGACGTTTTTCATTGCTTCGATGGAATAATTCCTAATTTATAACATGCAAAAAGTTATGAATAAGAATATTTTTTTAAAAAATTGCTTAATACTTAGTCTAAATGGTTGTTAGTACATTTCAATTCTCATAAAATATTTCGCAGTGCAGTTAAGGTGCCCAATAGAAATATCGGGGATTTTCTGTGATAAAAAATACATTCTAAATCAGGATGGCGATTCTTTTGTTTTTAGTACTTTACTAATATCGGACAAATGTAAATATGATTATTAACTATATAAAGGACGATAGACTTGTCACGTGATGTGGCAGTCACGCGATTTTAGCACATATACTTACATTATTGGGGTTACATGTACTTATAAATTTCAGTAGTGCAAGGGCATAACCGAGTTAAAATTCAAAGTTAAGTTTATAAATATTTTCAACACCCATTGTAGTTTGTGAAAAGTGCTGCGATCCTATACAGATTATAGTATTTCATTGTTAAAATTATATTAAATTTTTGTATGGTTTCATGCTGATTTTTTTTTGCTGGTCAATTGCATCATAGTTAGATATAAAAATAATTCATTTTCAAGATTTCACCAGGATCGCAGCACTTTTCAGGTAGCTTAATATCTCTAGAGTTCATGTGTAAAAAAACTTATTATGATCCATTGAGTGTATGTTATATGATGCTGTAATTACATGTAAGTTTTCACCGTATGTATTTTATGATTATCTGGAATAAGAAGCCAACCTCGAAATATATCTATTAAACGAATATTTTATGAAAAATTGAGAAATGTCTTGGAAAAGACACCTATAGAGATATAATTTAAATTGAATTATTCGCAAAGAAAACATTCAAAGTGACCACAAATTCACATTATACCTTATTCTTACCGGAAGCCTTAAAAAAATGAAGAACAATATTAATTTTTATATGAAAATAATATTGTCGATTGACAGAAATTCGCAGACGGCTTCGGACAGACAGAAAGAACGTATTTGATCTTTTAAGCAGGATTATAGATTAGAAATGGCCTGAATAATGACCTGAAAGGTCATTTAAATTAGCACACAATGCTGATTTAACCTTACATTCATAAAGACGAATAAATCCCGAGTGTGTACATGTACTCCTAAACGGCAATGAATTTCAAGTGAATTTGAATATTTACATTTTACAAATTGTTTAAACGAGATTTAAAAAAAAAAAAATTAAGAAAACTTAAAAAAAGATCAACAAACACTTTTATCAGTATTTTCACAAATGTCTCGTGAAGTAATCAACTAGTGGACATAAGGTATTTTTCTCCCATTCCCAATTTGACCTGATGTCTTCTTTCACGAAGAAAGTATTTTAAACATGCCATCATTGTTGATTGAGTTATTCATATTAAATTTTCAATCAAAGAATGTTAATATTTCCTGCACGGGAATTTTTATAAAATATTATTGTACATGTAATCTGATGTAAACATTAACAGATTATGTAAAATCAATTTCATTTCTCTTTGCAAAACTAATTTCAAGATATACAAGGTTTCATTAAAGCATTTCTCTTGCTTTCTATTCAGTCCTTAATTTGACGATTCGTCTAAGGTTCCCAGAATGTCTTCATTAATAATTTATTTATTTTAGCAATAAAATACCACAATAACTGTATTCACATAATATCCACGCCCGATTGATTCTGGATTCCGAGTGAGCACCAAGTCATCCAAAAAACAACAAACCTTTTCAAGAAAACATACAGAAAAATACAATGAACACTTGCCTATGTTCATAACAAAATTTTCCTGTTTAATGTGGCAACGATTTACACATAAATGTCATCTAATTATAGGTTTTAGTGCTTGCCGTTACGTTGTGATTAGATGGGGTAAATGTTACAAACTTTGTCACTAGATTTTTGTTCCCTTGTTCAAGGTATAATTCCTCACACCAACCCGGACACATGGAGTATGTACACAAAACTTCAGCAATCTTATTGGCGTAGTGATGACAATTGTGCGTAAAAGAGTTGTATCGCTGCACGAAGCGCTTATTGTAGTACACTGCGCATTTCCGGATGCAGTCGATATCTAATGTGCTGTACCCCGCCGGAAGCGGCTCTCGTTTAATGCGACAAAATTTGGATTTCGCCGGTCGTCGTGTATGGGGTTTGTAAAATAATTCAAAGTACCAGCCATCATAATAGATCCATCTATGATTCAAAGACCAGTACTTTCGCTCCGGAAGTGGGTAACGTACCAGCGCCCTCTTGTGACGGCGACGTATTCTTTGCATACATTCAACATTTGTGGTGCCGAAATAAAATGGGCGACCTTTCCTTTTACCTAATCGGAAAAATAATAATGTACATGTATTTATAACAACCATTAAAACCTTGTTTACTTATTATAATAAACATTACCCTAAATTAAATTATACTTTAATTCTTTTGCATGATAATAAAAAGATTAATTTACAGAGTAAAATTTACCAAATTTAAAAGAAGAACCAGAGAATAATAAATGCACAACACCAACCCCACCCCCACAGAGAGAGAGAGAGAGAGAGAGAGAGAGAGAGAGAGAGAGAGAGAGAGAGTTTTACTTACTACCACATGTTGAACTCTTTGTCCATAGGTCAATTTGGTATGATTCGTGAAAGTATGCCAATATTACCCAGCAAATTAATAGAACCTAGAATCAAAACAAATACGTACATATTTTGAAAGTTTTGAAATGACTGGGTGAGATTTAATTCAATAATCAGACCACCATTACAACATACATGAAAATTCACATCGAACATATCAGCAATTGAAAAGGTTAATGAAAAGTGTAAAATTACTATTAGTAACGATACATGTATTTCATCTACAATTCTGTAGGTATATCATAAGTAAAATAAGTAATTAATTATTACCAAAATTGTCCAAAACACGCATGTCTTTCTGACCATTGCTTCATGGTCGTGTTCATTTCATAAAGAACCCTTATGAATACATCGTGCAAGGTAAACCGTACAGAAGAGATCCTCAATGTAAACGAACAACAATACATTGCTTTCAGACTGCAATGTCGGATTAAATTTGAATGTAGTTCAAAGGTCACTGTGTCTTTAACCCCTTTAATTTGTTAGTTAAATCCTTAAGTATTTTAAACAATTTAGATTAAGTATTACATTAGAATTGAAAGTATTTTGGTAAGGAAATTTACACACGAATCTTTCTAATGATGACGCATACAAGTATTCGTTAAACATTGACTTTTTTAATATGAAGAGAAAGACATTATTGAAATTTGAAATTCTTATTCAATGAACCATTCCGTGTTGACGGTGTAAGTATTTATTCATGTTCACTTATAGAATATACTCGTAGTTAATTAATAATTAATTTGCCTATATTTCCCCCTCTAAATTTTATTCCTCATTTTTTGATAATACATTGTCTACATGTCCATACAATATCAGTCTACAATCCAGGATGATTAATCCCAGCAGTAATGTTAATTTACAGTAGCTACAAATACCATTCATTTGGGATTTCACAAATACCAACAACAGTAGTACTATGTACTTTGTTCTGCTCCTGTACTCTATATTGTATGTAACGGTAAAAGAGGAATCTTTTTTTAAATTCAAATTTAGGCCCCAAAAAGCTACGACAAACAACATATGATTATGATTTTTGACAATCATGCATATGCCCTTTGCAATATTCAGTTTATATACATCATTATATTCATTGAACATTTCAACACAATCATGTAGATCCACATGAAACTACATGTATTCTAAATCGTACCATCTTAATACACAGATATTTTTCTATTTATAATTTTCGGGGAGAAATAATTTTCATTTTTTTAAACTTTATTCCACTTTTCTCGAGCTGTACTATCACTTGGTCTAGAATTGTAGCATTAGAATTATCAAATATATTGCGATATCAAACAGAGATTGACATTTTCTGAAGTTCAACGATATAATCGGGATTTTCTTGTGAGTTTCAATACGATGTCCTTGATCTTGTAATGCCTAATTTATTCTATACAATAATTTTACTTTTTACGTAATCTATCCATTTTATATTTTTTGGCTGTTTGGCATTTGAATTCAAATCCATTGTTAAACTAAATAATAAACATAACAAGTGAGTCATTCAAAACAACTTTGGAAAATAATGTTTTATTGGTAAATATCCAAAGAATATAAACTAGGAAATGTGTGTGGAATATCTTAAAGAATTCTAAGAAAGCCAGAATACGTAATAAGGCTCATTCGATCAGCTGAATGGTGTTTGTTTTATTAACAACAACTTAATAGCATGATTACATAGAAACTGAGCTACCAAAATATTAATGCATGCAAAAAAGAAAAAAAAAAGATGAAAATTGCAGCTACTTGTAAGTATGGTTGTGTTATAAGGGAAATACCGTCACAACTTGATTATACACATGTATATACATGTACAAATAGACAAAATAATTTACATGTAACTATTGATACAAAAGAGTGATAATCCTACGAAGACGTATACTAAAAGAAAGATCTTGTGTCCCATTATACTTGATAGAACTGAAGAATATATTGGTTTTTTTTTTCCTTTCGAAAGAATAAAACATAGAGAATGAAGTATAGTTGCTACATGTACAAAGTCATGTATATTTTAAGGGAAAATTCTGCGTGATTGTATGTAAAAGGGAAAAGTAGACACGTGGTATGACAAAGTCCTTTTATTGCAGTAAAGCAGCAGTTGAATTGGAGAGACTCACATCGAGACACCAGTCTGGACAAGATTTGTTCATACAAAGAATCTCGGCAAGCTTATTGGCATAGTGATGGCAATTTTGTGTGAAGGCACTGTAACGTTTCTCAAACCGTTCATTGTAATAAACGGCGCATCTGCGTACACAATCAATATCCAAAAGTGTGTACCCTGCGGGAAAAGGTTCCCGTCGAATTTGGCAAGTTTCTGACTTCGCCGCTCGGCGGGTATGGGGTCTGTAGAACAATTCAAAGTACCAGCCATCATAGTAAATCCATCTATGACTGAGTGACCAGAACTTCCGGTATGACAAAGAGGCTGAGTCGAGCGACCTCTTTTGGCGGAGTTTTGTCATTCTCATGCAAGCTATGTCTGTACTGCCGAAATAAAATGGCTGACCATTGATTTTATCTGAAAATATAATCATCACATATAACAATATTTCTTACAGCCTTGGAAGCAGAATCTCATCGTGTCCGTTTAATATCCTCAATATACCGGTCGGCCTAAACAAGACGTTGACCCAAAAAAAAAGATTATGCAATTTAGCACAGTATAAGTTTATGGCAATGATGGATTTGTCTTTTTAAAATAAGAAAGAATAGGATTACTGGGAAATACGTGTAAGTTTATCGTGAAACATTTAAATTCATTTGTTCTCAACTTCCCAGGCTGACCACAAAGGCAAGATGTACATATGCGCTATACATACAAGAACTTACCCCCACACGGAGGGCTCGTTTTCCAAAACACAACATGAAACTTTTCCTGGAAGTAGGCCAATAATATTACTGAGCCAAGGCATCCCTGAAAATAAATATTTAATGAATTTTTGAGAACTCCACTACAATCCCATCGTATATTCTACATTTCACACGAAACTCTCTTTATTTGAAATCTAGGTATCCTTTTTCTCAAGAATCAAATCAAGTGATGCCACAAGATAACTATTCAAACAAGTAAAATTAATATGAATTCTAGAATAAGTAACGTTGTGTTGTACTATTAGTATACAATTTACTACATGTAGATTATTTTAATCAATGAGATGTTTGCACTCACTGTAATTAGATACCACATCCACTTGTAATCTGACCACATCCTTTGAAATCATCAGACACAAATTAACTGAAGTTTCAGGATTCAATATTTGCTGATAAAGGAATCAGATTCAGGCCATTTCCATGATTTCAAATTTATATGTCATTGTAACAACTAGTCAGGCACATGTTTAAAACATTCAAAGAATCCTTTCGCATTTCTACCGTAAATCAAGCTTTAATAGATTTTAAGGTTTTATTAGTGTACTAGTTACCTTCAAGTCAGTACACAATAATGGGATTGTCAGATGTATTTAATATTGAAGTGTCGACATTGTGAACATTTGGTTTATCTCTTAAGAAAACTATAGACAGACTTGTACGACTCTTAAATAATTCAAAGAGCTCAGTGTCATTATTCACATTTAAAATATTTTGAATATTTAGCGGATGTATAACAAAAGATAAAGTGACAACCAACAGAATTATGGAATCTCTCCATTATATTACGCCTCCCAAGGTCTAAGCCCCACGTCCCTTTAATATGAGGTGGAAACGGGTTATGCCGGTGTAAAGAACAATTATTATAATGACCCGCGTAGAATAATGACCGGGGGTCATTTTTCGACGACGAAAAATGACTCCCAGTCATTTTTCTATGAGGGTCATTATTCGTCTTTACACCGACTAACGGGTCTGCGCCTGTTGTGAAAGACCAGTACGGTAGCATCCTTTCGAAGGACAGTGACATCATGGAAAGATGGGCGGAACATTTTAAATCATGATCAGTTCAAAATAGAGGAAATCCAACTCAACCACCGGATATTGATAACAACATAGCAGAACTTGACATCCATGTAGAAGAAATAAGTGTATAAGAAATACAGACGGCCATCTGAAAGATGAAGGACAACAAAGCTGCAGGAGTAAATGGCATCCAATCAAAATTACTAAAACCAGACATTGAAGCAACATCAAATGTTATACATAAACTGTTCCAAACATTTGGAGAACCAACGTGGTATAGTGTACCAAAAGAGTGAAAAAAGTGGTCTTCTTATAAAACTACAGAAAAAGAGAGATAAAATAGAGTGCAACAACTGGCGTAGTATCACACTTTTACCTATAATAAGTAAAGTATTTACCAGAGTGCATTTGGAGAGAGTGAAACAACAGGTTGATGCACGACTGAGAACGGAGCAGGAAGGGTTTAGACTATTATAGGATAATCATGTTGCGACCAAATTTTTATATTGCAAAACATCATAAACCAGTCAATAGATTGGCATTTTTCTCTAAACCTCAACTTTGTACACCTTGAAAAGGCCTTCGATAATGTACACCGGGAAAGTTTATAGAAGCGCTTAATAAGACTGTTTGGCCTACATCGAGGATTATTGACATCATAAGGCTACTGCTTGGAGGATTGTAATGTAGTCTGATGGTTGATAAACTTTAAGGCCAAACAGAGTGGTTCCCAGTAACATCAGGACCGAAACAGGGATGTCTATTGTCTCCTCTGCTCTTTTAGTGGCCATAGACTGGGTCATCGAGGGAATTCACCAGAGATCAGAATAACGGCATTAGATGGAGAATGTAAAAGAAGTTGGATGACCTGGATTATGCCCACGACCTATATCTCATTTCATCCACCCATCAACACATTCAGGAGAAAACAACCAAACTCCATAAAACATCTAAACATTTAGGCCTAAACATCAACTTAAAGAAGACCAAAATCCTGAGAATTAACGCAAGGAACAACAACCCCGCACAAGTAAATGGAAAGCGTTCGGAAGCTGTTAGACACCTTCACATACCTGGGCAGCATTGTAACAACATCAGGAGGTACTGACAAGGACATTGCATCAAGAATCAACAAAGCCCGTCATGTGTTCGCCATCTTGAAACCAGTTTTTGGACCTCCTCCTATGTGACTATTAGGACAAAGCTCAGGATCTTCATAAGTACTGTAAAATCAGTATTACTACATGTATATGGATCAGAATGCTGGAAGCTCTGGAAAGACCTCACAAGGAAACAAATGTAGTGCGTGTCCAACAACGCCCTCATAGATATGTCAGGACAGAAAGACATCGTTGCGGAGATTGTGAGAAGGAAGTGGAAATGCGCGTGGGTCGGCCTTGTGCTCAGGAAAGATCAGCATGATATCACCAGAGAAAGCATCTTCTGGACAGCCGATAGCAAAAGAAAAGGGGACAGGTCAAAATAACATGGCGAAAAACAGAAGAGGGTGAGCTAAAACAGATAGGGTTGTCGTGGAGAAAAGTGGAAACGGGAGCAAAAGATCGGACTGGGTTGGGTACTATGTGGCTGCCTTATGTGCCACCTGGCATGAAGAGGACTAAGGGGGGGGGGGAGGTCTTGCGATTCAATTGTAACATAATATTACAATTGAATCGCAAGACCCCCCCCCCCCCCACTCCCTTTCCAAAGAAATCTATTCGATGAACGAAAATTACATACATCATGTAACGTAATTAAATCGATTCGATCGAAAGGATAAAACCTTTCATCGTTGGAACCCACAGGTTTTCTCTCCGTTACAGAAAAACCGTGGGTTCCTACGACGAAAACCTTTATATTAAATTTATATGTCAAGATGTAATGAGCTTATTTTTCTCAGAGTGAATGTGACGTTTCAGATTGGTTGTCGGATCTAGGGGGCGCTTAGAGTTGTTTCAATATCAAAGCCCGCTCTATAAATTTGTGGAATCTAAGAAAGATTAACTTTGGCTGCTACAGATACATTACTGCTCCAAAGCAATTCCAAAAATTAACCCCTTTTTTCTGAGGACAAAATTCTATACTTAGTATATGAAAGTGTAAAATGTTTTTTTTCCCTTCTTAATAATCTAAAATAATTCATACTTCATGCAGCGTACATGTAAGTTCATATGCAATAATTGAAGTTCGTAATGTATGTATAGTTTTTGTACATAAGACATGGACAATAAACAAAACAAAGTCACGTCTATTTATTTCATTCACAGAAGGGACTATTTAAGATTCTGGAGCTTGACAGCGCGGATTGTGATGAACCACTGAGTGCTCCGCCTCATCAACTGTTTGTCCTCTACACTCCAATCCTTTTTCGCAAGGGCAGTAACTCTCGTACAACTCATGGTTAAAGATGTCGTGGGTCATAAAAGGCATACAGGTCTCGTTCTAGAAAATAAGATAAATTGATATTATTAATTCAGTCATTAAATTATTATTGATATTGACGCAAGTAAAATAGTCAAAAAACTTCAGTTGGTGAACCTTTCATTAAACTCGGTACTTTTTAAAGAATTTTAACAGTGATTTTTTCCAATATAATTCTATACTAGTTTTACATACAAGTCTTCTATGTGGTTGACATTTTCCGGTATCGTGATTAAAAAGTCCATCAAAGAAGAGGCGCTTTCTTCTCTTTCCCATAAACCCACTGTGAACACAACAGAGCGAGGCATCGCAATCCGATTGGTGGGAACAAATTCCTCCCAACGTCACACTTCCGGATGGGCGAACGGTTACAGAAGGGTCAGGCGATTGTGACTAAATAAAAATTGTCTTTTCAGTGCTAATTCCACTAGTCATGGTGTATAAACAAATATTTCGTTTATTACCTTTCACCGTAATTGCTCATCTTGCAGCTTTTACCATTCCGAAATACCCTCCCCCTAAATTTTGGATGATCATTCCGAATAGTACATGTTTCTTAACACTTCAATGTCTGTAGTCTTTGCACCATATTACTATTAACTTTAAATGAAAAATGTAATTATAGATGTTTTCACAGTTCAATAATACTCACAGCAACCAGTGCTATAACTAGTAGGAGAATTTGTAATGTCTTCATGTTTACTGTTAGACTGTGAATGAGAGAGGGCGCACCTGTCTACAGAAGATAAGGACAGAATACGGTACAATTTACCTTCTCTGGCGAAATAGAAAATCAGGAAAAAAGTCGCAGTGCAAATTGCAGGTTGATTAATCCTCATGTTTATTAATACATATAGGTGTATTTAGTCTATTTTTCATATATTCTATAACTGTACATATATTTATTTCATACTGGACATCGCTCAAACTTCATTCCATGTACTACATTTTCGTGTTAACGTAACGGTCAGAGAAAATGCATGTGGACCCACGCTATTTGCTTACAGATCTTTTCATTTTTGACTTTAATACCTACATATAATGACTGTAAAATATATCTCTCTCAGTTCATTTTTAATAGTGTTGCACAAATGAAACAATAAATAAATGGCACTTTATTTGGAAACAAAATCTAATATTTTAGATACTATAGCTAGTGACCAAATTAAATTTGTTTCACACATATATAGTCTACATAATATAGCCTACATAAATGGACATGTATATACGTTGTTATATGCTGAATACATATCTCGTACTGACCTAACGTAATTAATTATCATGCAGAATTAAAGAATACTTTGATTCCCAGAGTTATACATGTTACATAGTTATATAACGTAATCCTTAATAACTAGCAGTCAGTAATATAAAAACTCTAATTTTATCGTTGCCTAAAGGTACGTGTACATGTAGATGTTATTACATGTATAAAGTACATTGTGAACTATAAACTTCAACAAATTAATTCAACAAACACTCAAATCACATACAAAGTAAAATATTAATATGCCCAAATATAGAAATAAAAATATCTCTCGCTTGTAGAACACACAACCAGTATATTGTTGTAGTTTGGCCAATGAAGAATCAGTTTCTGTGGACTTCTTCGGACAAAAGGAAATGACGTCACTCAATGACCGTGACCTTTACCATGGTGATGGTCCTTGTGGCGGCAGACGACAACGGGTACATGGGAATGATGGACGATGTAATCACTGACACTACCCATAAAGGTTCTTCGTAATTTTCCGTGGCCACGTGTTCCGCAGATTATAACATCAGCACCTTGCGCATGCGCTTCATGGACTACTGCTTCACCGGGTTTTCCATGGACGGATTTAACTTCTCCATTCAACTATTCAAAATAAAAGAAAACTAGCGTATTTTCAAACTGTTTATTTAGATAAAATACATATTCAAGCAACAAAGTAGGGTTATTATAGAATTGATAAATGACACAGGTACCTGACGAATGGATGGCGTTAACCCCCCCCCCCCCCCGATTTTATATTAAACATGAAAATTTTCTAGACTATCATATCGAATTTAAGAAAAATATATTTTAACTGGGAATGGATAGAGACTTGTAAAACATCAACTCTCTGACCCCCTTACAAATTCCACTGACAATGATGTATTTCGGTTTATAAATCTCCCTCGAAGCAGGGATAAGATTTCCTTTCTTACTTTTAGTACTTTTACAAACCATGGACGGTCAATATTCAAAACTTGGCAAAAGATTAAACGGAAAAGGATATCAGATATCGGAACATACGTATGATAGGCTAGGAATTCGTGTATTTTTGACAAGTTTCGTGTCTAAAAAAATTCTCTGAAAAGGGGGGGGGGGTTACACCATCCATTCGTCAGGTGTTTGTGATAACTGAACTGTCTCCTGAGACATTCGTAAATTCTAATGACAATTAGATTTGAGAGTGTTTTAAAGTTTTGTGTTTTGACCCTCCCCCCCTTTTTAAGAAACATAATGGACAACGAAGTAAATACATATTTGAGAGGAAAATAACTTTTGTGTAATGGCTCCAGTTTCTTTTTTCGCTGGACCCTCTCCCTTTTTCACAAATCAGACCGTTGTTAATACTTACACCAGATACTGAAGCTAACTTGGCCTGTTTGTACATACTTACACCAGATACTGAAGCTAACTTGGCCTGTAACTTTTGCATCAGAGCTTTACTTTCTTTTGCCTCCTCTTCTAGAACGTTTCCTAAAGCCTTGACATCTGACCCTAAAGCTGTTTAAAGAAAAGAAACTATCATCATACAAATTAAAGTAATTTTAAAAAAATCAATAAATAAAAAATCAACGTAAAGATAAAAAAAAAATATATAAACGATCACTTCATTTAATTTTTTTCTATATGTCTACACCGATAGTAAGATAATCCTATCTTCATTTTACGATAAACCGCGTGGTTTTTAGCTAGGTTTTACAAACCATTAAATAATATCTTCACGCACACAAGTGATGATAACAGAGGGAACTCAAACACTGAAAGGGATTTTTCTAATGGAAATTTTGAGCTTCTAATGGCCATTATGACTACAAAATTATACATCCTTCTTTCTTAACCAGTTATAAGCCTCTTATAATTTTATAATTTGACACATGTATCCTGATTTATTTGATATGAATTTCATTAAATGGCTAAATTTGACTCATTTTTCGAGATGATTATCCGTCCGCGTTATATTGATTAGAGATCTCAAAGCATGGCTTTTTGCAATCTAATGAAGTCATCGAGTTGTTGTATATCTGGCTAGCTAGTCCTAAAAACGTACAGCTTAATTAATAATAGGACCACATGTAGATAATCAATACTTGTACGATATCTTAAATTTACAATACAATCAATAAACTCTTACATCTAGGTGAATTGACGACTTCCATATGTTCAAATATACGTATCTATTTCAAGGTTCTTTCCGTAATTTTAGAATATAAACAGTTTGCGGGGAGACGTTTCATAAATGTGAGGTTTACATTGAATTGAATAAATAAACTGGAAGATAGAAGAATATCACATTATATCAGCAATCTGTCAAGAAAGCCTGTCAATAGTTAATATGTCCTATAAAGTATTACCTGCGTGCGCAATACTTTTAGCTTCGAAGCTGTGGACAATCGTTACAATGTCTCCATCCATCTTAAAGTTCTCCACATACCCTGTGAAAAAAAAAAAAATCATAATTAATTTAATTCAGTCAGGTTGAATTTTAATAAACAGAGTACTACTAAAGCGGCAATCTCCGTATATGAGGAAGTTTTATAAGCATGTGTAATAAACATTTCATTAAATGCTGACAATTCTAGCAGCTGGTAGAATATAAATGAATTTCTTTTAATTTGCAAATTACGTATATGTCAGTTACCTTCGGAAGTTAGTACTTATCGCACTTATTAACAATTAAAATTGGTGAAACTCAAAATGCATTGTTCAGTATTATTTGGTAAAGGACGACAGCAGACGACAATGGGTCATAGGTCTAACATCCGAAAATAAGACTGATTTTACAATCTTAATAGTACAAAAGTATATACAAAAGTATATATTTAATGCCCGTCATTCCGACCTTCTCATCATTTCATTCAAACACCTCGTTAGCTTAACTTGCTTTACAAATAAACGTATATTGTCGACAGTCGTAGTATTAATTTAAACATGTAAATTATGTGTTTTCATGAATGTTGCAGGATAAAAAAAATGCAAGAAATAAAAAAAAAATGTTGAGCCGAGCTATATTAAAAAAAAACAAAACATTTCGCGACCGAGGATGTTACCCTGCATTATCCAAGGCAAGAACTTACAGTATCTATTTTCTATTACACTAACAGCTCTGAAATATACGGCTGATCGTTTCCTCGATCGAGAGAGAGAGAGAGAGAGAGAGAGAGAGAGAGAGAGACGAATAGCATTGATAACCTCAAGTTCGCTGTTCTTAGTTACACAAAATGTCTTTTCTGCAAATATGCACATTGAATTTTTCACTTGACCTGCAGTATTCATTATAGAGTCAACTGTAACCCGAGAAAATTTAAAATATACACAACCACCTGCAGTAAGTTTCGGTAAATACCTATGTGTGTCTTGATAGGTAGACACAAGACCTACATGTGACTTTCTGTACTCTTTATAGACAGAAATAAAATAAAGCATAGTGTACATGTATATCACATATACATACACACATATTACTGCACATTTTACAGTTTTACATCGTTTGAATGATCGAGATAAAATAATATAATTTATAGATATTTTACATATCAGCAAATTTAGCCCATTACTTTAATAGTCCATTCAATATACGGGTCTAATCCCTGGCTCAGAGAGTTTCCCAATGATATATATGGTAATCCTATGTACAGACGACAATTTTATGACCTTTCGGCTTATATTATTGAAGTATTTTTCATTATCTCGACCATAACTCCCTGTTTATGAGCTGGGAAGTATTTTCTATTAAGTTCTTAACACTCTTCTTAAGGCCATGAGCACGTACAATGTGTATAACGAACGCATTTCAAATGCTATTAAAATTTTATTTAATCTGCGCAATCATCTTTTTTTCATTTGATTTCTGGTCAATTTGATATTGTTTTATCATCACTTGAACCATATAGGTATCTCTCAAAAGTCGGTTTTATGTAAGGATGACAGTATATTTACATTATATGATTATATAACTTTTTTTCCATACTTGTACAAATGCTAAGTTTGCTGAATCAGCTGTTGTACTTGGTAGAGCGTTAGAGATTAAGGGGAGAAAAAAAATCACTTAAAAATTCATATAAAAGGAAAAAGAGGAAAACCCACCTGAAAGTGTGAAAAAAAAAATCAGATTTATGATACTGAATATTATTGCTGCTCTGAAGAAAAAAAATCCTACGAGCTCACAGTGATACGATCATGTTTAGTTAAAAAAAAAAAAAAAAAAAAAAAAAACTCATTTCAAACTGCAGGGGCCAACATGCAAGCATCATATCACTGCTATCATATATAATGACGTGAATATTGTCCTTTATAAATGTAAGTACGATTTATAGCAGGGAGGACTGGTATTTATAAATACTAAACGCTTCTTTTCTAGTGCATCAAGTATATGTTTTCTGACATTTATGGTTAAATTTGAAATATTCTAATATATTCGACAAAAAAATTCAAACTTATAAATTTCATTGTGACAAATAAATGAAAAAGGGTGAAGATAACGAAACAGCGATCGATCTCGTAAAAACTACAAACAATACAAATCTGTGAATAGGGCATAAACACGCGTACGGACCGCTGGAAATTCCAGAGGTAGGATCAGGTGCCTAGGAGGAGTAAGCAACCCTGTCGACCGGTCACATTCGCCGTGAGCCCTAAGTATTGATCAAGTAGACGGAACATTCCGTAGTCAAATTTAGTACATAACCAAATACAATGAATTCTAAATTGTATGGATCAGGCATTATTATGAATATATATATTTCTTAAACATAAGAAATTGTGCAACATTAAATTCAAATAAAGTTTTATCTATAAAAGGACAAATCTTTTACTCATACCGTTTTCAACTGTCATGAGAAAATATAAAACGAAATAGTCTGATAATGCACACCTGACATTATATACATTCTTTCAGTCTGTTCTGTTTTGCTGTGGTTTGTGTAAACCGATCTTATCTGACCTGAAAATCACAACAGATTGACTGTTGTCGCATTCTTTTGATTTTTTTTTTAAAATCCAAAACTTTAACAATTAAATGTTCAACTTGCAAACTTGGGCGACTTGCAGAATTAAAATCCGGCGGGGGGGGGGGGGGGGGGGGAGGGGAGGAGTGGTGTTAGACACTGGCGAAATAAAATAGAGTGGAATGTATTAGGAAATTGGCCAGGAAAGCCTGGAGCCCACACATGATAAGTGGACTCCTTGTGGCATGTTTGTCCCTCTGGCATAGTATCTTTATGCTGTTTTTCATATTTTATGTTTGCATAGAGGCTACAAGTACGCAAATTAGGATTAGTCACATACATAATCTAAATATCTTATCGCCTAGTATGCATGCATATGGTAATCTTTTAAATACACTTGCTTACACGGCATGTTACTGCAATCTAGATTTTTACCAAGAAGTACATGTATAGATTAGACAAAATTTTATCTTTAAAAAAATTCATTATATCTCAATATTGAAAAAGACAAGCATGGAAAATATATTCTAGCCCTATGAAATTTCCGTCAAATGAGAAAAAAGTTACACTAAGTAGTTTTAAAAGACACTTTAAAGCAAAGCTATAAGTATATTGTACTTCTACTAGTATATATGCTCATGAACTTAATTATAAAAAGTGGCTGAAAAAAAAAAATACAACCAAAAAAAAAAAAAAGGAAAGATAGATTAGGTTAATTAAAGGAAACTCTCAAAATTCGAAGACGAAAAATGAACAACAATAAAGCATTGAGGCCTATATGCCGTATGTATACAAAACACGTGTACAGGAACTCAAATGTGTTTTAGTCGTTCTAAGTCCATTTCTCGAGCAGCATTCCTCTGTATCTCATAAAATTATCATAGGCCAACGGTCATGACACTTCTGACCGCAGTGACATAATTTGTGTATACTTAGCCAAGGGACGACCCGAGGCGATCAAGGGGGTCACGTCAAATATGAAATAAGTCATAAAATTGCACATAACTTTAACCCAAAATGAAAAAAAACCCACAAACACACACACTTAAAATTATGAATGAAATTAACAGCACGAGATAAATAAAACATACGATACATGTTATATACACCATACTGCATGGCGGAGTGCAAATCGTAAACAAGTCGATTGACAATATAAACCTTCAGCTTTGCCTTAAATTAACTAACTTTATGACACACTTACAGTTAAAAGCATAGTCCGCATATTCACTCCCGTCCATTGCCAGGACCACACGACGTTTTGTGGAATCTACATCCATGATTCTATCCGAGTTTACAACCTCACCGGGCCGTGCTTCTGTTTCTCTAGGAGGTAAATAAGGTTACATCAGGTCAACCGTGAAATGGCGCAATCAGCTATTTTAGCAAGAGTTGTCTTCCTTCAGTCATTCTATGTAACGAACTTCATAAATAGCAAATCAAGGCAACACAATTATCATTTTCAGAGATCTATGTTTTTTTCCTCTGAATTGTTCTCACAAAGAACAGTTTGCTTGTAAAATTAACAGCCAGACTTTTTAAAAAATAATGTAGCCTAACAAAGCAATGTAATTAATCACTGCATTTATTACTTTCCTAACATGCATAATAAACAAATAGATTTTTTTTTCTCAAAAAAGGGTAATGTGAAAAAGATAATTCATTTTTGAAATACTTCAGTTTAAATAAAAATGTTACTTTATATCATAATATTTAAGAAAGAGCAAACGATTATACTTGTTCATTTTCATTCTGAAATTCACTGTTGAATTTATACAAGATGACGAGTATAATGTCACGATCAGTTAATTTCTTAGAATAATGTTACAGAACCATTAATGTCTTTTAAAAGTACGGATTTTATTTCTTGATAAGAGATACGAGTAGAAATTGATTTTAAGTCTAGAGAACCTAAGTGCTTTTATCGTGATAAAAGAGAAAGATAACTATTCCTCTATTCCTGTACACTGAAGTTCAATTTGTTTTTAAAATTAAAAAAAAAAAGGAATGCATGAATGACTTTATTTTTGTCAGCTGCGATGGCATTAATTGTATACAAACATTATCTATAGAAGTGTCCATTCCCTGCGGAAATCTATTTGTGATATTTGATAGACAAATGTTGATAATTTTTTACGTGTGTGGTTTTCACATGCATACTTGCATACTGGTTTCAGACTTCGATATATCAATATATTTTATCTATATATCACTTATTGTTTCTCAGTTACTTCACAGGCCTTTAGATCCCTTTTATTCGACTGACAAAACTGGGGGTATATAAAAACATTTTTCATACCCCCGGTTTTGTGAGTTGGATTAAAGCGATCTAAAGGTTTGTGATTTACTTTATAACACGTTTTCTGCAATCGTAGTTTGACAGGTTAAAAAGCCACATGCACTAGTCCTGTCACCGTGTAGCTTCTCTAATTAACATTTTAATCCCCAGCTACAGGTATTTCATCAGATCAGTTGTAGTCCACACCAATCGTTTAACAAGTTCGAATTTTTTGTAGAATAATCTACTGTAGTCCACAGCAATAGTTTAACAAGTAATTATATTCCTCAGAGTTACAGTTCTGTTTACAAACATAAACACAATGTCATCTGTTTGTATGAATTCTTGACGTCTTATGCATGTTTTTAGATTCCTTGTTCTCTACACAACTATATTTTATTTGAGACGAACATTCTATTTTGTTGTAAACAGTTGTTTATATATCAATAATTTAATTCTGGTTGTAACGCTGTATTTGATCGGATAAAAAATTTACTTTATATCGTATAAAATGGGTTGCTTACGTCACAATGACTTGCGTCAAAAACGTATCGATCCGCCTGACGTTGCATTCAAATTTTGTACAAATTGAAGTCAATTTTTAAGGACAATCATCTTTTTTTCTTACACCAAATGAATGAAAATTAAATTATAAGGAATGAATTTAATTGCTACCCAATTTATACGGTATAAACTGGGTTGGAACAGTTTACGCTTTTTTATAAACCGCTTCGCGGTGTATAAAGCGTAAACTGCCCCAACCCAGTTCATACCGTATAAAATGGGTAGCTGTTAAATTCATTCCTTAAAATGTCTCATCTAAATTATAATACATGTAACACACCATCAGCATATTTATTCTCAGTCTTCCACAACACTTAAAAAAAAATAAAATTGCAGCTTAATTTAAGCCAAAAATGAGCCATCTTCTTACCTATTTGTGTAAAATTGAATGATTTAAGAATACCAATGAAAAAAAAAAACAAAACAAAACAAAACAAAACAAAACAAAATAAAACAAAAAACAAAGGTTGTAGAGTGACTTGTAATTTAACTAACACTGCGGCTTTCGAAAAGATTAGAAAGAGATGAAGTGGAAATAGGTTGTATTTTGCCTTATATGTAAGTATTTCAAGCCACAGAATAATTCCTTGACTGCCAGGGAGAGGTTACCGAGTCAAAAGTAAATGAAGCTATAAAAAAAGTGAATCCTACAGCGTTATAGTGGACGAGTATACTGCTGTCAATTAATGCCAGATACATTTGGCCATTGTATGTGCAGATATGTTGGAGATGGAGCATTCAAACTGGCATCCTGCAGGATGTACAACTTTCAATTTTATTGGGAATCAGAGACCATCTTAACAACCAAGAAAAAATACTAGTATTTAAGCATTCTGGAAAATCCCCTGCAAAAGATGACATCCTTTGCGAGTGGTGGGCTTGCAGCAATGGCAGGGAAGAGAAATGCAGTTGTGTAAACAGGATAGTTAATCAATAGATTTTGCATTTACACTGCATTAATGGACTGCAGCTTGTTGTGTCAAAGACTTTTTAAGTCCACTCCCATGAGTCGCTAACTGATCACTTCTGATATTACTATTAAATACATGTACATGTAGTTCAGTACGATCCTGGAGGTCATTTTGAATTAGATGAGAGAGACTGGAGAACTATTGAGCAGCAAAACAATATCAATGGAAGGAGACAGAGACGTGTCTGGGCATATAATGACAAATCTCGAAAATGCAGTTGTAAATTGACGTGACATGGTGATCAGCACAGGATCCCCCGCCAACAGACTTTAGAAGATGTCGAAGAATTATGAGACGTTGTGCTTTATCCATCCTCTCTGTGATGTATGCCCTGCTTGGCTGCACTTACTAGTACCTCTACCGATGTAGATCTATCCATCATTGAACCAAAATTTATAGCACTACAAACCTTCAAAAACTTACGAAGATAAAAGAGAGACCCCCCATGCATTTACAAACCGAGTATCGCCAGTAGCATAAAGTTTGGAAATAACAGCGAAGGATGGCACTCTGCACTCCACTCAGAAAGCCAAGAATTTACCTTGATTGACAGTCTTTCAGTTTTCAACTTTAGCACGTTAGATGAAAACAATCTTGCCTTAGAACTACGTGGATGCAGTAACATGTAGATGTTGCAGTCATTTCATTATGGATAAAGATCTTTTGCGCTTTGCATGAATGGGCTGATACAAGAGTTTTTTTTAGGAACAATCTAAAAGTTTGTACACCCAAGTATCTCACTGGTAAAACCAAGGGAAACCCAGCAATAAGAGAAATGTTCCCAACATTAGGAGGTTGTTTGTCATTGCATAATCCCCGCTCATTTCTAGTTGTTTGATTACCATTAACACCTTTTTCTAGTAAAGATTCCACAAGTCATATGAAACAGATGTGTCAGACTCTGTGATATCTTTTATTTCAAGCTCACTGGGATATATCGTATCGACGTACGAATGGAAATACATATAACCATTGTTAACTGACAATACGTCGTCGATGTATCTAAACGTCAAGTTGAAGGCCACAGCAAGTGTTTTCTTCTTTTCACATACAAGATTTTGAACAAATCTGCTTCATACATGTATGAATACAAAAATAGGTCTGCTAATAACGGGGCGCAATTGGTACACATGGTAATACCAATAGATTGTTGGAAGTCCTGGTCTCCAAAAACCACAAAGATATTGTCAATCAGAAACTCAAGCATGTAAATTATTTCAAAATATCAATAACAACTAGCTTTTTAGTTATTCAGGAAAATATTTAGTTTCTAGCCAAGCATAATTATGCATTATATGTTCTTTTATTTTATCAAAATGTATTTATTTAGAACCCACCAGTGTGTTTGAAAAAATAATTCCATTTAAAATATCTTCAAAGGAGCTTATTGATGGAGAAAAAAAAATACTGGTAACAGAACAGGATTCCCAGATCAATCACAGTTATTGTAACATTCATCTCAATTTCAAAGACACGAGATAATATTAACATCCAGATCTTTAAAAGGGGATAAAGATATACACAACCTGATACTTAATAGTTGAAAAATAAAGGCTTTATTATTATAAAAAAAAAAATTGATTACATTTTCTTATTTTTTTCGGATTATACAACCAATTTGCCGTCATTTATCCTGCAATACATAATTAAAATTAAGGAATCTGGAATAAAAGGAAGGATGTATTATGAATTTCAAAAGAATTGACCGATAATACAAAACAATTTCCCGGAACAAGTCCTATTTCAAAATCAATGTCTGTTATCTATTTTCTAATGTATATATATCTACATTCTTCAAATTTGCATTTTGAACCTACAATTTATTGTTTGTAATTTAAAATTAACTCTAAAAGTGGGGAAAAAACCCCAAATTTTCCCCGTTATAGCGGCCATTTTTGCATGAGTTTTTGCATACAGGTCCTTTTGGGCAGGCTGTCCCTAAATAGAATTATGATTTTTTGATGGGATGTGAGCTAAGGAATAATCTAAAATATGATCGATCGCAAAATTATACAAACAATACAAGTCTGTGAACAAGGCATAAAACACGAACCCTGGAAGTTCTAGAGGTGGGAGCAGGTGCCTAGGCGGAGTAAGCATCCCCTGTTGACCGGTCATACCCGCCTTGAGCCCTATTTATTGATCAGGTAGACGGAACATTCCGTATTCAAATTTAGTTTAATTACAGAGGTCTAATAATTAATTTGACACTCGTCAGCCAAAATACATCTACGACCCAATAGTAGATTATATTTGTTAAAAAGGTCATCATAACATCATAAAATTTATGAAATGCTCACTTTAAACGAGGTTGTTGAAATCCCTGTAACATAAACTTATCTGTCAGTAGCTTGCCTCGGTTTGAAAATTGATCATACCTGCAGCATGCTCCTAAGTATCAAATACAATGTAAGTTGGAGACATAAACACCATATGCAGGTAATAACAGAATATTACTTCATAAATAAGTAAAATTGACGATGGAAAAGCTAATAGAAGTCATCTCTTTAATTTTTGTT